GGGGGTTAAGCTTCATATGCCCTCCTCCACCCTCCCCCGGCTACGCCTCTGAAAACTTCCGAGAACTGAGTGTTTCATATAAAATCAAATATAATATGTTATCCTAAGTGATAATAGAATTTAGCAACCGTAACTAACCGACAGTGTAGCGATGCCTGGGCCATCAGTTTCCCTTATAATAAAGCGATTAGCTATTGGCGCAAATGCCTCTCGTCTTGCTGAAATGTAGCATGCTAAGCAGGTTGGCACAGTTAGGTGCAAATGATGCAGATCAATCTCTCAGTGATGCAATTGGTTTGTCGTTTTGGGGCATTTTTTCGGACCAGCCAAAAGCCCATTTTAGATTAACAAACATAACTTTTGGAGCACAATGCACACTCCATTCTTTCATTTCACTGCTAATACTTCAAGTGAATTGGTATACAGCCCAGTTGAAGGGCACTGCTTCTTTGACTCCCCACTTTCGTGTAACCACTTGTTAGCCTCCAGTGCAAAGCATAATTATACTACAAAGGTAATTTAATCACCTTTGTAGCTCAATTATCCACATTGATGGAATTTTAGGTGTAATTTTATGATATTACAAAATCAGCATGTGACTGACAAATATCAAATATGCATTAGTCTACCTGATCTGATTAAGGTTATTTCCAAACTTTGACTCCACTGCATTGGTGGCCTATAGTGTGGAGACCACTAATGGAAAAGCTGGGTTGCACCTATATGTAGCCCGTCTATTCCAAATCAATGTTATTCATGAATTCTCACCTTACACCCAAGTTACAGAAATTATTTACTTAAACTACAAATTTGAAAACTAAACACTAGCAAATGCTGCACGCAACTTGTCAGAATGCTGCCGTCTATCATATAGACTAACCACGGCTTTACTTTGCAAGGATTACTGCAAGGTAGGGAAGTTGTCACATCTACATTCACTAACCCATTTTATTTTTTTATTTTTTTTAGAAAGCTAACGTACGATTCTGCATCGTCCCCCTCTGGAGTACTTATCCACGAGCTGCGTGGCGGCGAAGCAAGATACGCAAAATGGCTATGTCTACTCCGCGGGTGTTAACCACTCCACAAGGCACCAGTGCATGGTGAGAAGCGCACTCAACAAGGAAACTATAGCCCGGCGGAACAGACCTTGAGTGAGAAATATCGCTAAAAGTCCACATAGCGTATATGTATGCGATACGAAAATCAAACCGAATAATACATTATACTAAGCGATAATCAAAACTTTAGAAAATTCGGAAAAGCTTACCGTGACGACTCGGCAATGTGGCGGCGCTTGAGCTATAAGTTTCCGTACTGATAAAAGCGAGATCAACTTTTGGTACAATGCTGGCGCGAATTCTCCTTCAGAGTTCTACAAAAATACAGCAAAATGAGCGGTTGTCTGATGTAGGTTAAGAAAAGCAGAACAAGCCCGTTCCCCATAACTCAGTGCTAGCTATGATTAGTGGTTTGTTCTAGTGATGGGCCGAACTTTTGCCGAATCGAAAATTCGGCGCCACCGAATCTTGAGATTCGGCAAAGCAGAATTTTTACCGAACTTTTCTATAGATTTGGCAAAGATTCGGCAAAAATGCATCGCTAATAGACTTAAAAGTTTATATATCGTCTTTTCGTGCGAAAAAAAAGTGTTTAGGTTCTTTTTTAATGCACACTAACGCAGTTATTAGTAAATAAGGTGATATTCTACAAGATAATTGTATCGGTGTCATTTTTGTGCGCTTGCTGGTAATTTTAAAGTGACTTTTTGCAGAAGTGGTGTGACAAGGCGGTTGGGTAGTAGCGGCCGCAGTCATGATACGCGAGTTTCGGTTTTGAGGCCTAAAGCGCAAGCCTGCAGGTGTGTATTGTTGAAATAAAGGTTGTAACACTGTGTTCTCACTTTGTCTGCGAGTCACCGTTTCGTGCGCGAAAATGAATGCAACGGCTGCTGAACCTTCACCAGAAGAGATAACAATATTATTGTAAATAAGCATGTTTTACGATTGGAGACACTTCAGCTTTGCATATGCAAGTATGCGTCCCATATTCGCAACGTCTCATTTTTAACAGTTAAAATGCCGGTTTCTGATGTTAGGACACACGGGACGTCTAGGAAGATAAGAAGGGTCAAGAATGTCGGATGTGCAACATGGAGCATGATAGTTCTGTGTTTAATTTTATGAAGATAGTGAAAACCGCGAAATAACACTAATTGAAAAGCAATATTATCTTGTTTTGGCACAACTATCTGTGAGCCGAAAACAGGATTGCTATAATGGCGAGGAGTGCTCTAAAGTGCTTGTCAGTCAATATGCAACACCTCGTTGCATCACTGGAAAGATCAAATGAAAATCCCGTTATCTGGAACGCACCGCAAAATGTGTCACTTGCTCAGTGGACTGCGTCGTTTTTGGGTAAATTTCTGGTCGACCTTCTGTTCTTGAGGCAGAAAATATTGAAGAGAACCACATTCGCAAAGGCTGACAAACACAGTAACCATGTCGCCTTCTCCGCACCTTGCCGTAGCCGCTGGCAGTACTCTAAACTGTACGATGGTAAATCGCACGGTGTCCATTTGCAATCCAGATCCCCGTCGTTTTCTCGCGCGTGCACAGACGTTTGCCGAATTTTCGCCGAATCTTTGCCGAAATTTTCTTCAAAAGTTCGGCACGTGCCGAACTTAGCGGAATCTGAAGTTCGGCAGATTCGGTTCATCACTAGTTTCTTCCCTCCACTCATCTCCCTTTCAGCCTTCGCTCTGCTACAGTGGAAAGAGTTGAGCACTTTGTGGGAGAAGCCTTTCCTGCTTTTTTTTTTTATGCAACAGACTAGAGCAAGGCAAGCACTTTGGTGCAGCTTGGCACACGTCAAAGTAAGAGCTCGCACTTATGTAGCGATCAAAGAACAGCGCCACTAAAGTTACCGTGAAAGCTAGGCAAACTTCACTGTATCGGTCTTTTGCCCAGCACCCGAACCGAAACGATGATGTACCTGCCCGTTTTCCCGGTCATTTTATTTTAATAACGCCCGCGTTTTTAGAGCCTGAAAAGTGCAAATAATTTCTTTGATGCAGAACGCAATGAGATATTGTAAGGCTAGCTGTACATCGTTAAGAATAAAGTAGACGCTTTGGTATGCATCCTACACCGGGCTATGCTTGCTGACGTCGGCAGATGCATGTCATGTGTGCCTCTGGGGATGGCCATTCCTTTCGTTTCCTGACCTTCTCTAGACATGTGCAAAAAGTGGATTTTGAGTTCGAAGCGAATAGTGGTTTTGCCCGAATATTTTCTAATCGAATATTGAATAGTTTGTCTAAGCCTTTCGCTACTGCGCCATGCTTAAACGAAATCCCAGCTGAACTCGTGAAGGTTGTCCGTCACTAAGCTAACTTAATTTTAATATAACTATATTTAGAGACTGTGGCATCAGAAAGTTTAATGCCTACAATGGAATGGCAAGCCAACGACACACGACATAAAATAAAATTTTCTGTAGGGATGCCCAGCTATACCCAATCGAGGGGATTTTTAAATCTCCCTGTTATATGCAAGGATTCTTTCTTAAATTTAGAATTAAAAAAAAAGCAATGACTAACGATGAATGCAGGTCGGCCTCTCTGCCTAATAGACTTGCATGATATCAACAAATTAATTTTTAAAATTTTATTGCAGAGCAGATATCAATTTATTTGCAAAGTTTCCGTTTCCTTTATGAATACTGTAAACGACTTAATTTTAACCAGGTCCTAATTTTCGCGAATTTCGCGAATCGCCTACAATTCGCAAAAAAATAGGTCCCGCAAAACAATTCCAGTAAAATGTAAACACGTTAGATTCTATATTGAGATCCCACCACATCGCGAAAATTAGAAACTGCGAATTACTCCAAAACTTCAGCTTTGACCTAAATCGCGAAATACGGAGCATGCGAACAATAGGTCATTCACAGTACACCATGCCGGTGCGTGCACCGTCCTGTTTTGAAAGTGTGCTTTCTTCCAGAGCTCGCAGCTGCAATATTTATACTTCTCTAAGTGTTGATTGCGGCGGGTTAGCCCCGTCGAGTGTGCTTCTTACCAACCACCGGCGAACTGCGGAGACGCAACATCCGCGGAACCAAGCCCCACCGGTGTTACTTCTCCGTAGTGCACCCGTGCTCGGTAAGAAGTACGCTCAACAAAGCCCGCCACGATCAACATATCGAAAAATATTATTATTGCCTTTCATTTCGAAGCAAATATCGAATAGCATATTATTCGAAACTATACTATTCTAAAATTAAAATATTCGCATAATCCTAACCTTTTCTATACTCCAGCCCCAGCAGAGGCTCTTTATAATACAGCTAATCCAGTGCTGTGAATGCCATCAGCTGACTACCCCTCACGTGCATTGCTGAACCTCTCCTGAAAGTTCCTGTGACACCCAGAATGCCTTTGATTGACTTCGGTGACTCGTAGTGCCCTCTGCAATTTTTAAGTTTTAAATACTAAAATATTACCGTATTTTTCAGAGTATAATACACTTTTTTTTTCAAAATTTTCGGCGGTGCGTTTTATACAATGGTGTGTCTTATATGTATATTTTTTTCTTTTTGGCAAACTCTGAAAGAACTCTTGCTGATGCTGATTTGTTGATGCAGATTAACCACACGTTATGAAGTTGCTTCGTGGCAAGTGCATAAATATACCTGCGTCTTATACCACAGGTGTTTCTTATATACTAATTTTTCCTTAAAAACTTGCAAAACGTGGGGGTTCATCTTATACAAAGATGCGTCTTATACACCATAAAATATGGTAATCCCAACGAAAGCAAACAGTCATGGATGACAGGTGAAAATCCTCTTAAAACTCACTTTTCTATAAGGTAAATGACAGGCGAGGGTCATTTCCTTACAGCTTTGTGGATGATAACAGTCATGATTAGGAAACTAGCTTAAAAAGTAGCCTGCACAGTTGCAATGGTAGTTAGCACCATAACATGCACATGCAATGAACACAACATGCCTGCATGCTTTATTAACAGTCATGCGGTTAAGTACACTTGATGGGTTGAACACATACTTCAGGAACAAACCCTAATAAAACAACTGGTCAAAACAAAAAGAAGCTGGTGAAACCAACAATACAACAACTGAGAAGCTCCACTATGATCAACAATCTCGGGCATCTAACTATAAAACACAAGACAAAAAAAATAATGAATAAAACGAATGAAGTTTGGAGCAGTAACGACACCAAAAGCAAAGAACAGCAGTGACACATCAAAATATCTGTTCATCAACATGTCCTTTATCAAACAAAGTACCATGCAGTAAAGAAAGACAATTCACAAACAAATTGATTAGTCAGTATGGCAATGGACAGCTACAGTTCCTTCTGTCACAACACCACCAGTCTTGACTTGGCAGGTCACATCTTGAACTAGATAGCCAAGAGCACATGGAGCCACGTGGCTGACACAGAAATGCACCTGATCTACAGAATGCCAACTCACGGTAGCCATAAACGCTGAAGACAACACTGCTTCTTGTACAGGCCTTCTTTTCACCAGATACTCACAGCTCCCCTAGTTTTCCCAATCTAAATCGTCACAACAGCTAGGAGTCACTAAATCTCCATCAAGTACCTAACGCCAATCTTTAATAAACACACTAGGGCAGCAAAAATCTTTTCTAGTCACTCTTTTGCCGACACAGTCACTTGCTGACCAACAGACTAAAACAGCCGCAGCTCCCGGATTCGGCGCAGGCGGGTTCATGACTATGGGACAACCTTAACAATGGAGGTAGAGTTTATGGAGGCACAACATTTGGCCGCTAGCTTCAGCGTTAAAAGTTGAGCACATGCGCATTATCCAGAGCGTCATGAACGTTTGCCGTTGTAGATGGGCAGATGGGACTCTGTGGGGAGGCACTAAACACCGGGGCAACTCTGCGGCACCCTCGACCTCCCGCAAACAAGGTGCGAAGAGAAGTCTCAGTCGCTGGCGGACTCGTAAGGTGTGTTTGTGAAAATCAAGCTACCACTATAGTCTGCCAGCTTGTAGACATTCGACAGCTGGAAGAGACAGAAAGGAGGCCAGTGGCAAGAGCCGAATTACTCCATCGTTGTCATGATAGTTCACACTATGGTGCACTAACGACAATATTGTAGTCAGCTTTGAGGGAGAGGCCTGTTGGGAATCTATGTAGTATCTAAGCTCACGCCACTAGCTCTGGTGGGAGATAGTTGGTTTGGGAGCAATGTATTTACAATGCAAGGAGATTTGCAAAATTGATTTGTGTTCAGGTTGTACCTAAAACTAGGATAGACCTCTTGCATGCCCAGACCAGCAATATAAATCATTATCGTTCACAATCATCACTGAACTTGGCATGATGCCATCAGGGGGTGGTGTCAACAACCACAATGTGTCAATGCACAGTCTTGCCCCTGTCATAAGTAAAAGCAGCTTCTGCTCTCAAACGTTTCTTTGACAACAATATTCTTGCACAACTGTATCAATGTAATTGCATCATTTAAAGACGCCTTCCTGTCAAACTTTCTTGCTAATTTCTGCAAAGCTACTTGATGCCTTCAGGACACTGGGGTGCCAACAGACTCTAAAAGGGAAAGCCTTCAACCAGGAAAGGTGAAAACAAGACAAAAGAGAAGGTATAAAAGTCTTTATAAGCCTTGAGTCAACCCTTTGACAGCACTGGAGTGCATAGAGCCTTTGTGGCAGTTGCAATCCACACATGCCCAGTTAGTACATTAGTGGCACAATGTAGCAATGCACTGCCCAACATGCACACATTTTTACTGGTACAGACATGGCCACAGCACACCCACACAAGGACAGATGTAACAGCTCCAGTAGACACAAGACCAGCAGTTCCCAAGAAGTACAAATGTGACCAGCCAACACCAGAAATCAAAGTTGAAGAGGAGAGTGTCCTTCAGCAGTGAAGATGAAAAGCAGCCAACATGGTTTCAATGAACAGAGCTCTCAAGTAAAAACCACCTGTAGCATATGACACCAACACTCAAGGGCAGGAAAACCTTCCAAAGTTGGAAAGTGAAATTGGAAGTTAAGAAAATCAGGCGTAAGAAATAAAATGCACACAACACTGAACAGATGATGTCTACAGGATGACACTGAGTCATGTAAGTCTCACACCTAATTTCAAACCAGGAACAGTACTGATCAAACATCTCTATCACAAAGTCTTGCTTATACTCCAAAGGTTATTCTATCCACACTCTGTGTGAGGGCTTCTGCCAGTTGCACCAAGGCATGCAGGAGAAGCGGCTCCTCCTACTGCTTCCACTTCTTTGCATGCCTCAGTGCAACCAGACGACGCCTTCCACACAGGCTGTCAGTTGAAAGTTAAGGCCGTTACATGTGGACGGATTGTACAAAACTGAAGAGAGACGTGTTCTCAATTTCGTTTCGTCAAGTATGAATTCCACTAATGTCTAAATTAACCTGTCTGTGTGTACAAATAAAAAGAACACCATGACTGTGTGTATCTAAATGGCTCTATGTCATAAATAGGAAACAGGATGAAAACAGTGCTAAGACAACACACGAACACGGGAGGTCATGACAACGACAGCAGAACAGCCGAAAGAATTCGCAGTCTTTGGACAAAGAAAACACATATCACACAACAGGACAGAGAGCTGCTCTTTCACATTCAGTAAGACCTGCACAATTCGTATGGCCGGGGTCGGCAATCATCGATCGTAGCAGGCCAAATGGCCGCAGAAATGGACAAGCAGTGGACCAATCGGGGGTACTGGCGGCTTGACAAATCTATCTTACACAAATTTCTTTTTAGCCCGGCAAAAGGCCAAACATGCTTATTGACGACAGTAGTCATGTTCAATCTGTTGGCTTTTACCTGTGAGGAAAGTCTAGCATCACCTTGATATGTTGAGGTAGGTCTATACAAAAAGCATGACAATGTAACAGTCATGCCACTGAGACAATGTGAGTTTAAGTTTCCTTAGATCTAAACATCTTGAGGTGGAGTAGCACTGTATCTAGTCCAGAACCTTGACAGAGTTCTTTATAAAAATCTTTTCAACTCAAAAGAAAAAAGAAATGTTCAAAGTTTTTCGCTGGCAACATCCAACCTGCAAGTCGTAGAATGCCGACCCCCAATGTGAAAATTGACTAATGACTCGATCGCACAAAAGTGTGTCGAAGTGGTACCTGCACCTGCCGGGTAATCAGTTCAGCGAGATTTCCGTTAATTCTGATGTTTGACCATGGAACTCTCACTGGGAATATGCATGCATTTATCACAACTGCTGCACCTGTCGGGTAATCAGTTCAGCGAGATTTCCAATAATTCTGAAGTTTGACCATGGAACTCTTACTAGGAATATGCATGCATTTATCACAACTGACTGGAATGCTGTCATAATTAAAATCTCTAAGCTTATACTCCTTTTAGGACCACACTTCACACACAGCTGCAAATACCTCTAGATCTCTCATAATACGGTAAATAACCTTGTGACTAAACATGCCAACTGTATTTGGCTCACATGGAAGGTAGTATGATAAGTAGTCATAATGAAATCTGATTATGTAGTAATCAAAGTCTAAAACGTCGTTACAGTCGCCGACCGATTTTTCAGACGCCGATAATTTGGATTTGTTCGATATTTTGGATCTAAAGGACGAACCATGGCCCAAAATGATTGATATAGTGCATTTTCAAAACCAATGTTTCGGACAGCTTGAAGTCCGAAAGTTTAATTTTTCAGACAAAATCGTCGCGAGCAATCGGCGTGAAACACCACCGAGAAGCCAACATTTTAGATTCTATATTGGCTGCACATGAATTGGCTTGGTTTGGCAGTGCTACTTGAGTACTTAAGTCCTTGCGCTAGGTGACGCTATACCTATGCCTTTTGTTTTTCTCTAGCTGCAAGTCATTATCATCATTATTGCTAGCATTTTGTTTTGTTCATTCGCCATTCTCCAGTCGTGGACTTGCACCCGTCATCTCGTCTCGGTGAATCGTGTTTTCGAACTACGCTGGCTTGGACGTCATGGTCCCTTCTGTCCTTCCGCTGCCGCAAAGTGTCGCTAAGAAGCATGGAAAGTACTCGACCATAACGCTAGAAAAAAAGGCAGTGATGATAAGCTAATAGGAAGTTGCCAAACGCAAGCGGAGGCATAACTTAAGGCAAGCCACTATTGGCGGCTTTTTTAAGCCCGCTTAGACGTAATAAAGGCAAGTATCTTTTTTTATCTGCTGATGTTTCGGACTGCTCTATTATTCGGATGTTTTTCCGGTCCCTGCAAAGTCCAAAAAATCGGTCGGCGACTATCCTTCACAAAAATATAAGGAGGTTCCTCTATATTTTGATTAAAAATCACTAAACATTAGGGTGAGAGCTACTCACCTAACTGAAGTCCCAGCAAACTCCACTGTCATAAAATATTGTAAGATCGTAAGAAAGTAGTTTAAAATGTTCACAACATTAGGTGTTATACCCCTGTCAGATGAGCGATTTATATTGGCATTTGGCAAAATGCCCATCAAATGATCAGCCAATTAACTGATCATCCTTATAATTAAGTTCCATGCGATGTGCGCTGGGTCGCCGATTCTTTTAACTGCCTTTTGCCTTTGATATCTTGATCCGACAGGGGTATAAGTATGATCAAAATTTAGGACTTAAAGCCAGCTCATATAATGTGTGGAATGTCAGGAACACAAACAAAAGAATGTGACTCACTCTGCTATAAATTCCAAAGGACCCTGAGACAGCAGCCACATTATAGTAGCATGTTAACTGTTGTTTCATTCATTATGGATGTTTACCATATAAGGCAGAAGATGACTAACCCACCCAACACTTAGCGGACTACAACTATCGTAAAGTGACGAATCACTTAAGCAAGAATTAAACAAAGACAGCTTTAAAAGACAATACATTTTAGATACCAAATATACACCAGTATATGTCTACATTAAGTGCAACATTTAAAAAAAAACTGTCCATGATAGTAAACATCCACTGCAAATCTACAGAAAAAGAAAAGCAGAAATCAGGAACTAGACGTAAAACAACTCTCTTCATAATTAAGAGTTTGCCAAATCAATCATTGGCTTTACAACAAAAACTTTTAAGACCCTTCAGAAAAACAGGTCGCTTTATAATAAAGAAAAGCTCAGATATGTAACTTAGCCAAGTCCAAAGTTTAAGTAAAACTTAAGTGCACTGCTTGAATCAGAGGCCCTTTGCAGCTGCATAGCGTGCCACGTCGTCACGACCGAGACCTTCAGAAACTGTTGATGGTAACCTCACTAGCAGATGCGAGCGGGGCAAGAAAGTGCAGACGCCTTTTTACCATCTCTTCCGAGCCGCTGTTCTTCCTCGGCGTCTCGGGAAGGCCGTCTTCGTCTCCCGGATCCATGGCACTCAATTCCTGAGATGAAGCACAAACCGTTTACCTTTGATTTTGAAACACGCCCGATCGAACCTCACTAAGATGTAGGTAACTGCTGCACCATCCCATGTAACCAACGTTGTTAGACCTATCAGTTGAAAGGCTCCACGGAAGAGCATCGTTTGAAAGAGGTTCTTCTCTTTTTCCTGCACATGAGCAGGTACAGTCGAATGCCGTTCCTGGCACCTGCAGTGGCAATGCTTCAACAAGCAATGGAGGAAAAACATTTTCGAACGATGCTCTTTTCGCGGAAACTTTGTTTACGCGAAAAGTTTGTTGTTTGTTTTGTTTAAGTGTCAGAAAAGAATCTTTTCCCACTGCAGGCAATGAGCATCCAATGTTCCGCCGGCTCCGCCGCTTCTGTCGAGAGGGCAGGCTTATAGCGTCGCAAGCACTACCGAAGGGACGTGACACGAAAAGGCGCTAGGCATTCTAGGAGGCATGTCAACTGACCTTGATCTAATAGTGCTGTAGGTAACAACAATGACTACAAAGAATGGTGCGCCTATCAGTTGCAGTAGAACCTCGTTGGTACCTTCTCAGTTACCATGTTGCTCCAGTTGCTACGTTCATCAATGTCACGAGTGTTTCACAGGCACAAGAATCCTTGTGGAATAATATAGTCTGTGAGAATTGCAAGCCATCTCATCTGTGGGCCCTCAAAAGTGTCTTTGGCCGTTATGTTTGCTCAGATCCTACTTTTTTTTCCTGCAGTTCCCCGAAAAACATGTCATTGAGGTTCTACATGCTGATGCTACCTTCATCTCGCTTGTTTTTTAACTAACGATTAAAGTATTTCAGAAAGATCTGCCACAACACCCCCCGTGACTCACTTTTGTTAGCTAAAAGGTGACACGACTGATTTTTTCTGCATGCAAGAGTTCCTCAAGCCATGTTTCTTTACAGTGCAGTGCACCTATGCACAAAAGAAGAAGCAAAACTGCTCAGGTGGGGCATGTGCTATTCATCAACTAGAATTTTGTTTATGCAAAAGTAACCAAGACTGGACTGCTTTCTCTTGATGCACCCAAGAGAAGGCAAAAAGCAAAAAGTAAGCAAACAGCAAAAAGTAAGCAAAAAGCAAAAGTAAGCAAAGGTGCTTACTTTTACAAAAAGCAAAAGTAAGCAAAAAGTAAAAAATGAGCAAAAGGACTAGACGCCCTTCTCTCAGTGCGCTTAAGAGAAAGCCGTCTGGTTGTTTTGGGACACCAGAAAAAATAAACATTATTACTATACAAAGCTTACAATACACATTACACATTACTTAGAAAAAAAAAAAAAAAAACAGCCGTTATGCTTATTTGTCAAAAATGTATAAAACAGAATGAGAAAACTAACTGAGGGTTCTTTTCATTCATCTCGTCATTCATCTCGTTTGAGATGAATGACGAGATGAATGACGAGATGAAAGGTGTTCCTCCTTTCTGCAGTAGAAAGGAGGAACACCTTTCTACTGCAGTAATGCAAAGGGAAAAGAATTTTTTCCAAGCAGGGAAGGAATGCCTTATCTTTTTAGAGTCTCCACTTGAAGAAAAAAGAACCTACATTCCTATATGTCTCTGAACAGAAAATGTTCAAAATCGGCCAATTAAATACTTTACGATTTTTTAAGACAAGAAATATTTTCTCTTGGCACGTGTACAGACTCAGCCTCACCGCAGACGTCAGGAGTCCGCTGTCGGCGGCAGGGTCCCATTCGAGCTCCTGAGACGCTGTTGACACAGGCCGTTTGGACTTCAAGTCCCCTGCACGCATGTAAACCTCAGCATGAAACATGCATCGCCCTTCCCATGAAAACTAAGACGACATTAGCAGCAAATTGCAGGTAGCTGGAATCATTTGAATGATATGTACTACATACAAACAAGTTGAACTACTTATGATTATTAAGTAGTAAAGTATGTAACTCAGAGAAATGTCTTAGTTGTGGATATGGCAGACCAGGTGTATAGTAAGTGATAGGTATGGTACCAAAAGCTTGTTTGGGTTATTGAAAGTGGAGGTCCCTTGTGCAGATGTAAAATATTGTGAGAGTTATTATTATTATGACACCTTTTTCCACGCCCCCACTATAACCTACCCTCACACAAAGGCCAATCCTCAAAGGCCAATTTAGGCCAGGCATGTTTGTTTCAGACAGCTCACAACCGGCATCTATAATTCATATACTAAAAATTTTAGAAAAAAAAAAAAGAAGTCTTGATAAAAGGAGTTCTATGGAAGCATTAAAACAAAATATTGCCGCGTGCATGGTGAAGTTGGCAATGCATATGGCTGCCATGCAGACGAACAGGATGCAAACCTTGTGCCAATTCTAGTTGGCCCAGATCTTCATTTTATAATTCTTCTTATATAACTCTTCTGGAAAGCTCCAGCTCATTCTCGGCTGTTATAGAATTCTGGTTCGGAACATATGCACCGCGTGCATAAAAGCAGCAGTAATGCGCTGTTCGGATGAGTCACCCTTCTGTTACTGACGCAAGAGGCTGGCACCTTTCTTTTTAAGTTTGTAGGCACAAGCTGCCTCATTAGATGTTTATTTTCAGTTTCACATTCATTTGCTATTTTTGTTTTGACAATTAATGCAAGAACTACCTTTCATGTATTTTACATTTTTTAAGACAGTTATGTTCAAACATTTGGCTTCAAGTTATCATAAAGAAGGAGTTTACATCAAAGATTTTCGCTTATGCAAGAATGCACAGACAAGGAGCCTAAGCATTCTCTTTCGTTTGATGACCACTGCCTTCGTGCTAGCCATTTGTAGGCCCATTCACCAGGATCCAGATCTATACAAAAGCAAAGTGCAATAGTCAAAATGATCATGCAACAAAGTTGCACTCCAGAATATGTAACATTTAAACACCGAAGTAACAAAATACATGGCAAGTGAATAGCAGAAAACTGAAGAACCTAGTTTACATCCATTACACCCTCACAAAATTCTGCTCAGGCCATTGCCTTCTTCTTCTCTGAATTAACTTTTGGAGAATATACCTTGGTACATTTTTACACGGAGCACAAGTTTGTCTGCTTCTTTTGCACGGGTTGTGGTGACAGCAGAATGCTGAGCTCTGATTGGCTCTGATTGGAGGATAGTGGGTAGACCACAAAGCAAGCTGCCTTGAGGCCTACCCACTATACTTCAATCAGGGCCAATCAGAGTTTGGTGTACTGACGTCACCACAACCCCTGCAAAAGAAGCAGACAAACTTGTGCTCCGCATTGAGGAAGGAGTGCACGTACAAGACCTAAACAACTTAAATAAAAAAAAAAAAAAAATGTGCTCTTTTGAAACGCACCAGTGCACATTCTTCTTGGTACCTCACCTAGACCATTGACGATGGGCGAAAGTGCCAGAGGTGTGGAGTTCCGGTTGTTCAGGATGGGCTTGGGAGGACTGCTATTCATGGCAATGGATGGAGACCTCGCCTTCACGATGTCCACGGAGGGCCGAGGTGTCGACGACAACATCTCGTTTTTCGTCTGTGGCAGCGGCCGATAGTCGTTGTTCCGGCTGCTGAAGCTCACCGCTGAGTGATAAAAATTATATAAAAATTTTCATATGTTCTACCACACAATAGTTGCAAGGACACTTGCACTGTAGGCAAGCAGTCTTTCTGTAGGCATCAATAGAACAGCAGAAACATTTATTCTAGAGGTTCTCAAGCTTTGATATCTTGAAGAACAGCTCTTGACTGATGGCCAGGAAACCCCATCCAATCTATGCATTGATCCAATAAAGCAGTGCAGAAGTCTGCAGACTTTATGAACAGTAATGCACATATTAGGAAGTGTTTGGAACACAAACTGGAGGAACACTTTACTTGGGGACGGGAACGACCGAACAAATTTGGGGACCTGGGAAAGCCTTGAGGGTACTCTGGGGAACCCCTGAAAAATTCCATTGGACAACTCGTCTCGTACTATTGAAAATCAAGTTTCTCCTGGTGCCCCTCTGTGATGCAGGAAAGCGCCACCGAGTCTTGTAAGGAGGCAAAGGCATGCGTCGCTCCCTTGCAGTAGAAGGCAAATATAAAAAAAAGCTATGCATGCATCGTTCATGTTAAAAGCAGTTATTGAAAAAAAAAAATTTAGAAACCGACATGAACAATTTCTACAACCTAACATGCATTAGCGCTACGTCCGTGTCACTTCTTTGTCTGGTCCTTGTCTTTTTGCGCTGTTTTTAGTTCCGAAGTATGTACCAACTCGCCCAAGCCTCAACTTTTGCAATCCCAAATAAAAGTAAAGTTGACTAGGGGTCTGGGAATGCTTGAAGTGTCACCTTTCACAGGAGAGTTGTTGGACTTGCGCTTGGGAGGGTTGGCAGTGCTGTAGGAACCCCCGCCACGCCGGAAGTAGGACATGTCCTCACGGAGCTTCTGGTGCTTGTGGCGCTTCTGGAGCCGCCAGGCGTACAGGAAGACGCCAATGAGGACCACAATAAGCACCACTGCCATGATCACAGCCACTCCTGCAAAGAACAGACAACAGGTCACAACAAAGGGAAGAGTACAGATGAGGTACTGGGTCCCACAAGAGCCGGCTAAGTTGGAAGAGATGAAAAGCATCAGCAGAACACAAGCAGACGGCGTTGTTCAGGCGGTGGTATCAAACATAGCACACTCGCACCAAATATGTACAAACTCATCTTTGAAAGCGACCCGCACTTGTTTCAGAAGTTTTGTCTGATTTGAGCAAAGCCAGAACCTAGAAAACTTCCTACGTCTAGTGGCCCACTGATAAAAATACCCAAGAAAATAAGCTCTTAAGTAGGACAAAACACTAGTATTATGAGGTCAGCATAGTTAACTGCTCGAATGCCTGTTCCAAGTACATGCTGGTGATATATGGCGTGCTATCAGTGAAGGAGATTAATCGTACCTTGATTGATGCTTGAGGTATACTTTCTACTTTGTGAGTAGCAAGTGCAGTTTGAGCATCTGTATTGATTAGGAAGAATGCTCTACAACATTTTGGAGCATGAATACTTCAACTTTAGCTCAAGGACGATTTCCAGGGACTTTATACAGAAAGTGCAATGGCTCACCTCCAGTTACATTTCTCTAATTCAGTCTGCTGAGTGAAACTATAGTACTGATGAAACAACTTGGATGATTTGCACATGACCCTACTTGTTGAACCAAGAGCTAAGTTGCTGTTCTTCCACAATAAGTTAATTTCATTGCATCAACTTTGGTTTCTTTATTTCATTAACAATATGTTTGGTGGAAACAAATAGGCACAAAAAAATATTGCCCTGAAAAAGTACTTGTCCTTCATTTTTATAATAGAGCAATGCTAGATGAGGCAAGCCGAGTTTTCTGCAATGCATAAATGAATGTGTATGTGCTGAAGAGACCTCAGACTCTCTCCTAATGTAATGCTAGCAGTTAGAATAAGATGCCAAAGCTTCAAAATTAAGAACAAATGTATATATTTCAATTTTCAAAATTAAAAACACAATTACAGAAGAAAAAAAATCACTTCCGAGTGTCTAAGAATACAGAACAAAACAATGAGCGACCAAAAGTATTAGAGGTTTTGCAGGCTGCGAGAGGCTAGCCAAGAGAAGAATGTCAAGGCTTACGTGTGCTTGTTGCTTTTGCATAGAGCAACTTCGTTGCTTGTGGGTGGAAAAAGTTGTTTTTATAGGGCACCAGTACGGGATTGACCCTATGCCATTCGGGAACATTTACCTGAAAGAAAGCGCGAAGCCACAAAATCAAACAATTTCATTGAGGCTCCCCAAGACTAGAAAGTAAAAAGCAAAGCCAGCTTCTTTTTTTTATTTGGTAGTGTGACACCAAGCATGATCCATGACAAATGAATCGAAATGTTTACAAGTTCAACTTTTCGATAATGCATATCGTATATAATCGCACGTATGGGCCGCGTTTGTGTAAGGGCCGCACCCCCCCCCCCCCTCCTGCCCCCCTATTTAAATCAAAATATATAAAAAGAAATAGATTTGAAAAAATATTGTGTATGTATCGGTCGTCCCCCCTTTTCCAAGGTGTGCTGACCACCGCTTCCGCAGAGTGCCGTATGCTCCGCCGTCAATACCCCGCCATATTTGTGCCTCTGCTTGTGCTTTTTGTAGTGTTTTGAAGTGATTTTGAAGCGCTGATAAGAAAGATTACAGAAGCAAAGCTTTTAAAAGCTGTCTTTTCTATGGTTCTCGCATCCTTCACGGTCGCCTTCCGCTCACGTGACAATAGCGGCTGTGAAATCGGACGCTCGTGTCCGATTTCACAGCAGCTACCATCACATCACACTAGGCTTCGTGAATGTTTTGTTCTGCTAAGTTGGTTTAATTACGCGGGCCCCACAACACGAGGGCAGTAAGCAGGTACTTCCGAAATGTCACTTATGCCCTGGAGTGGGGCGGATGTGCAACGGGTTGCACATATGGTGTCAACAAGATCTGTGTACAGTACCGGACAAAGGGTGCGGTCAAGTACGAGACCCGCGTACGGCGCGAGCTTGCCGGTATGTTACAGTCGCTCGACTTTGGCGTCAAAACGGGCGTTAGGAAAGAAACTCTTTGGAAAAGATGAATAAAGCAAACCCCCAAAAGTCACTTACTGGACGGCTTGAAAGAGCAACTCTAAACACCGTCAACGCCGGTCAGACACAAGCGCCGAGGATACCGCACGTTATACGACGATCGAGACCGAAAATAAAGGTGCTCGAGACCACTGCATGCCATCGCAAATATTTTTTACGCACATTCAAAACTATTTTGTTCTAAAAAATATTACAAGTCTCAAAATTAAAAAAAAAAAAAAAAAGTGTGGCCCTTACATGCATCTCTTCTACATGTATCCCTACTGAAACTTATAACTAAAGGTACCCTGTTTTCAGATTTACTTTTCTCCGGATTCGGTGGTGTTTGTTTGGGGTTTATTTTTTCGCATAGGTTCTGTATTTTTCAGTGTCAATCTCTAGTGCAAGACAAAAATCAATGTCTGTTGGGGCTCACGTTAAAAAAGACGGGACATAGGAATGGGGCTTCAAAACCTCCAGGAAAGGTCTACGTGACCCAAATGCTTCGAAAACGATCAGTACTAGAGCAACTGCATTGTCGTGCCTAAAACAAAAGCTACTCACAAATCACAGTCTTTTTGAGCAGAGCTCTAAAAATCCAACTGCCTCTCAAAAGTCAGACCCACCACCATAATTTCGTTCGGTTAAAAAAATTTGCAGCAGAAGCCATTATTGTTGGTTATCTATGAACTGCGATAGCATTTGTTACGAGACTCATGACACAACTCACTGTAAATGTGACTATGTAAATTTCGAGTAAACACAATATGCTATAAATCATTTACGATGCAATCATTGACGTCAGCGCGGCTGCAGCGCCACTTCAAAATTGAGTGATTGCTTTGTCTCTGTTTAATCGTTTAATATTCAAGTTGTTTCATCACCATCACTGACCATGTACCAACTAGCTCAACTCAAACCGATAATTGCTTCGTAGCCTGGACACAAATGTGAACGTGAGCATACTGCCACTCCGTATACGCGGCGCGGGTTTATCTGATTGCCAGGACGACATGGAGGACGACGTCCTAGAGGACGACGTCTAGAACGACCTCTAGGACAACCTCTAAGGTGATCTCAAGGACGACCTCAAGATCGACGTCGAGGACTATGTCTAGGACGACCTCTTGGACAACCTCTAAGATGACGTCGAGGACGACGTCCACATACGCGCAGTGCCTGCGTATGCGGGCACTGCGCGTATACGTTCTGCCTATGCGGGGGCGCCGCACCGCAGCAGTACGCATATGCACGGCACATTTGAGGCTAGATAGCGTGTTGCGAAAACTGGGAGAAGTAGCTAAAGAATGCTATCGCATTTGAAACTACGAATGAAACTCACAGCAGGTGGTTTGAAGATGGCCTCTGTCTTGTCTCCGATAATGGCCGCAAACTCAGCACATCGGCCTTCCCGCAGCGTCCCGTACACCTTGACCTTTTCAAGGGCACCTTTCTGGTAGCCAAAGTACGTCTCCAGTGGCCTGATGTTCAAGGTACGAAGTTCCACCACCACATCTGAAAAGAAAAAGATATTGTAAAGTTAATGTCAGTTTATTCCGGCCCTTAACCCCTTCACCGTTTTGGACGAGCCTAGCCCGTCCACTTAGAGCCGTCCCCAAATCGTTTAGGACGAGTGTAGCTTGTCCGCACACTCTACTCGCCCCTTAGCTGTTTTGAACGACTCAGGCTCGGTCGTAGCTTAGTTTGCAGCGTTGCCCAAAAATGGCAGCACATGTTTTTTTATGTTACACGTTTTTAAGGATGGCAACCAATTGTGGAGACATGTGGTGCAACCCGGGCCGCACGTGCGATAAAAAACAAAAACAGTCTAGGATGAAAAATTGCACAAAAAAATGGTAAAGGGGGTAGAGGGACACTACCACTCCTCAAAAAAATTGTGTTTATTTTTTGCCAAGCGATTTGGTATGGTGTAAGAAGACTGTCCAATCAATATTTCACTAGAGTAGCATATATCTTTAATAAAGTAAAATGATGCGACTTCTTGAAACCAAAACATGTGCACGGACGCTCAGAGGCGAGAGGTGCCTTAAGTCACGTGGCTATCGCTCCCAACTCGTTTTTTTTACGTTACTCTGCTTCTCGGGCGTGGGAAGCAGACGACGCCAACGAGGACGTTGCCTGAACCGTTTGCGATATACCCCTTCACCTCGCTGTTCTGCGCTTGAAGATTAATTGGCCAGTACCACAAACCACAGGTCGGAAGTAGCGGCCCCACAACCGTCATAATGTTGGTCTGTCGTACGATGCCATCGCATCGTGCAAAGTGCGGTACGTCACCATATTGCGAATGACATGCACATCTACTTCCTGTGATCTGCGCAATAATTTTTTTCGATCAATGTATTTGCAACCTCTTGGAAGCCACGAAAAATGGGGTTCATATTCTTTTACATTTCATATTCTTTTACATTGAATGTGTGCCTATATGACACATGACTTCGAATATATTTTGTATGCATCAGTTTAAACGGCACGTGATCATGGAAAAGAGAGTGAGTGCGACTGAAACTGGCAAATTCTCAACCGGCGGTTTTCAGGCAGATAGAATGCGAATGTCGAGCCGCAAATTATGTTCCGGGTAGTTGGGCTCTCATAGGTCATGTTCAAATAAAACATTGGCATGCATAAGTACCCTCTCAATGTCACTTAAGAGACAAAAAAACTGACAGCTGATCAATTCTCTATTTATTTTCACCTTATAAACTGTAGTACATATAGGCATATAAAGGTAAGCCCCTTGCAGAGTATTATTTAAGTAAAGTACTTGTAGTGCATTTAAAAAAAGTCATTTGTTATTTTATTAAAATTTACACATTTCACATGCAGAAGCATCAAATGTGCCCCTGACAACCATATTGTGCCACAACTTTTTCAAACAAACCGTGAACTATGTGCGAAACTTGTGTTTTTCTTGACATGACTATTATGGTATAATAGCTTGCAAACACCCAAGCCAATGGAGATAATCTAAAGGTAAAATATTTAGACCATTTCTCTTATCTATACAGGACCAGCGTAATGATTGAAAAATCAAACAGGAAACGGCACAACATACAAGACAGAAAGAAAAGACAGACAGAAAAGAAGAGTTTTTGGCTTAAAAGATTCGCCAACAAAAGCTGGTTTGTATAGGCAACCGGCTACGACAACGCTTCTCCAAACATGTGCACTTGCAAAAAGCCAAATTCCCAAAATAAAAAAATAAAAAACTTTGATGGTTTCGGAGGCGGACTTACTGGACACACATCCCTGGAAGTCTCCGTAGTCTCCAAACCTCGGGTCTCGCTTTGTGCCACCGACCACGACTAAACTAGAGCTGATGTCGACCGTGGGTCCGGAGGTGTCAGGAGTGGTGCTTGTCAGGACGTACTCCTTTCCATCAACCTGCCTCCAAGGAAGCAGGAGAAAAAGAGAAAAATGTAGGTTTTCGAGTTCTAGAATCTTTTCAAAACCCCGTCCGGCAACATTGGCAGTTGCCATTTGTTGGGCACGAAGAGTGCGATTGGATCTGTGTTGGCATCAAACGCTAACACAGAACTCATTCTCGATGCAAACTGAGCTGAGTTTGCACCAAATACCGACGTGGGCCTCGATCGTGTCCGATACAAGTTCAAAGTATCTGATCAAACAATGGCGGGCTCAGATAATTGGCACAGCAGTTACTCGATGGCACACACTCTCGAAAAGGGTCTATTCATCAAAAAACAAGAATAAAGAAAGGCCCGAAAGAGTAGGCATCTTGAACACATTGTCGATTTCGAATCAACTTGACAGTGGAGTGCAATACAACAAAATGATGTGAAGACAAAAAGAGCAAAGAATAGAAATCAAAAGGCTCAATAATGTCTACAGTGCCATGTTAATTAAGTGTTAGTAGCAGTAGTAGTAAAGTATATTCTTTATTCAGACAAAAAATGTCTGGGAGGCTGGGGCAAAAGAAGACAAAATTGTCTTGACCCCAGCACCTAATTACCGTGTCTGCACGATTCTAATGCGCACTTCTTTTCGCCAAAATCGGGGCCCAAAACCATATGTGCGTTACAATCAAAACTCAAAACTGAAACTCAATAAAGACGCAATGTTTGGTATAAAGTGGCCAGCACCATCGCCATTGTGACCGTTTGTTTACGTTCGCTATTTTGGTATCCGTATCACGCGCATTCTCTCGTGTCTACGTGCTCATGTCTGTTGTTTTAAGATGTAAAAACAAAAACAAATTCCACTGGGAGGTTTCATTTAAACGAAAGGCCATCACGCCGGCGGAGGAAGATAACAATGAAGCAGCACTGCGTGGCCTCAAATTCCAGCCACCCAACGAGCTCGCAAAGTGTTTGAAAGACCACCCTGCCAGAGGCGATGGTCGCGCACTCGTATATATGTATACGCGCAAGAAGCGCAGCACTTACAACACTTTAGATGAAAGCAAGTATTACCTCTTTGAACAGCAAAGAACCATCGCTGGACTCTTGCAACGGCAACTAGTGCACTATATTTATTTTTGTGTTGGCGCGCGTTTCGTAAAATCTGTTCTTTGAGGTATGTGTTCAATCTTCATTATTTTACCTGCACAATAGAATCGGCAGTAATTTACTTTGTGATTATCTGGTAGCTAAATCTGCCTGCACAATAGAATTGGGGGCACGTTAGAATCATGCAAACACAGTATTACACACAGCAGAAAAAAAATTACAAGAATAACGGAACCACTTAACATATCCTGAATATAGTTTGAGTAGACCAACAAGTTGAGACACTAAATGTATATTATGAGAAGCTTATTATATACTGGTGAAGGGTTTTTAAAATGCCCAGGACTGAACTGCCAGTTTGTGCCATTTTAGCTGTGGTTACTTGCACCAATTCTCCTTCCCTACCGTAAAATACTGGGCAAGTGCTCACTCAAACTTCAGAGATAATAAAAAAAATGGGGGAAGGGCACTTGTCTGATCATCAATTTTACATATAAATGTACTGTGCATATTTTCTCAGATCTTACAAATTTGGGGATGGGCGCTTAATGTGGAATGGGCTGATGCATGGTATTCTACAGTAGTTTAAGAACGCTTTCACAAATATTGATGTCCCACGCTTCTTCCACAGAAAACTTCCCAGATCGAGAGGAGCTGCCTTTCTTTAAAAGCTTGCACATTCTGACGAAAATGAATATGTCTAGAAATAAACCTACCACCACCCTAGCATCGTTTTCAATACGCTTGTAGTGCAGCCAGTGACGAAAGCCATCGGCAAAGTTCCCAGTCTGCTTGCCAAACACTGCGGAAAAAAATCTCCGTTACTAACATGACCGCGATGTCTGTGTTGCCCAAAGAACACGAGAGTTGTTCTGTACCCTTTGCAGATGCATGGTTTTCCTGTATTTGAAGCGCCCCCTCCGGCGTCACTGCGACCAGGACGTAATGTTGGCTGCACCGTGACAGAGACAGAGAAAAAAACACTCCCATTTATTACCAAAGAACCAAGACTACTGCAAACTGTTAGATAACTGAACCGGTCGGTAAAACCTATACGTGGAACGTTTATGAGAAACAATTGTTGGCGAAATCGCTGCGCAGATTAATGTTGAATCGCGCTACCATTGTGCACAGTCTTGTGCTTTGTAAATGCTCCTTTATTAAACTGCTTAGGAACTGCTGTGGAAATTATAGAAATATTTTTATTCAACATCCAAAAAGTCTTCTATCCCATTTAAAATCAATTCATAGAATTTCCTGGTCTGGGTGTCTACTTCCTGTGGATGGGCCTCCCACAACCAACAAACAGTTTGTAGTGTTTCTGCAATTGTTTTGCTCTTACTCAAAGGATATAAACTAGTGTTGTGCAAATATTGTTAGAAAGAAAGAAGTGAGGTTCAGCCAAAAAGACCCTCACATCTCGTGCAGCAACGGAAATGCGCAAGGTGTGCTCGGACGTTTGCTCCAACTATCGTGCTGGTGACACCATCATAGTTAATATCTCTTCATTGTATCAAACCCGTCTATTCACCAAGAGCCTGAATAGTATCTTTTAATAATGTGCTGTTCGATATTAGCCTTGAGACGAACTGCAATATTCATACTTTTCAAAGTGTTGACTGCAGTGGGATGACCCCGTGAAGTGCGCTTCTTACCAAGCACCGGAGCACTGTGGAGAAGCCAAACCCGCGGAGCTCGTGTGCTTTGCGGGTACTGCTTCGACAAGTGCTGATTGTTGGGCAAGTTGGTATGATACGTTAGAAAACATGATTGCGCTTTGAAGACGGGGACATAATGTCTGTCCTTCCTATGTCCCCGTCTTCAAAGCGCAATCATGTTTTCTAGGGTACTGCTTCCCCGCAGTGCACATGTGGTTGGTGAGAAGCGCACCCAACGGGTCTAACCCGCCGCGATTATGGAAGAACACACGTTAAAGACCGACGACCAATTCGCGCTTTACACTTTGCTCCCGCTTTCTCCTATCCCTCCTTTTGCCCTGTCTACCGTTGCCTGTCTCCTCCTCCTCCACAGTGAGGAGGATCTTCTGCCTTGCAGATTCTCGTGTCTGGTCGTCGCCCTTTAAGCAGTGATGTCTTGACAACATGCAATCATCATTCCTGCATGACTTCTTTTTTTTTTGTCAAATTTAAGATTGAAAAAAGAATATTCGCATATAGCAAGCAGTTTTAGAAATCCCCTCAATTAGGATATGGCTGCAACAAATTTGCTGTTTACATGCCACAGTTCATAAATATAATTTTTTTTTAAATTAACTGAACTTGTGGACAAGTGGAAGGTTCGGAACAACCTTCACGAGATCAAACGAACTTCCGTTTAAGCATGGTGCACGGTAGTGAAAGGGTTGGAGAAATTATCCGATATTCTAATCGAAAATATTCCACCAAAACTACAATTCATTTCAATTTTGCTTCAAACTCAAGATCCACTATTCGCACATGTCAAATATAAACATGATATGTATATTAAACATATTATGTATATAAATGTAATAAGATCCTTGGTAACTTTATTTGCCATTTAGAAGCTAATTAACATTCAATGGGTGCATTACCACTGATATGCACAATTGAAGTAGGTATATAACAGGTGTGTGCCACCTGCTTTGGTGGTCACAAACTAAGCCATGGATGTGAAAGTGAATAAGTTTTGTTTAAAAGCTTTCTCTCAGTAGCACCAACAACTTTGAATACCTAGTACAGCTTCGAAACAGTTTATGAACGAAGGTCAACTTAAAGTTGTCAATGAACAGGTATAAAGCGTAACTTAACATTGCAAACCTCGTAAAATGAGCAGGAAAAATCACTGGCAATTCAGCCATACGCTAGTGGAGGAACTTGCAGGTGAGCCCACCTTTGAGCGTACTGCACAAGGAGGATGGCTTGCCGCACGCTAGCCTTTGCCTTGGTCGAGAAGGCCAGGAGGATGGAAATGCGGTCCTGTCCCGATGTCTCGGGCATGAACATGTACTCGATCCATGCCTTGCCATCAAACTGGGCCCCAATGTCTGCATAAATTTATGACAGAATGCAGATCTTCAGCTATTTATTTATTTATTTATTTTTATTTTCAGTGACCCACCAACAGCTTAACGCCTCCTTAGTGGTGCACCTATCAATGAGTGAATGAGTAGAAAAAGGTTAAACAGGATAAAAGCGAAACATTAGAAAAAAACAATAGCCTCAAGACACTTTCGAAATTTACGCTTTTCATAAAAAATATCAAGGCTAGCATTCGCACAAATCTGTTCTAAATGATTATAAGTCAGTTGTAGGGGTGTCATGGGTGCAGCATAGTAAAAGTCGGTAGGGTAAAACAAAGTATAAAGTTTACAAAACTGACGAGGAACGTGCAAGTAGATGTGACTAAGTAGCTCTGGGGAATCAATTATACCATTTACAATCTTATACAAATATGTCAGTTCACGAATTGTACTCCTGTTGTGCGACGAATCTAACTTCACGAGTTCACAAATCCTCTCATAACTATAAAAATAATTCGGTTGAAAATAACGACCAAACAAAACACATTTCCTATAACTTTCCAGCAGAAAACAAGCCAAACATTCCCACCCCTGCCCATTTCAATATGGATGAACATTGTAATGGCATGCAGTCGTGTATCACTACTGCACGATGCACGTTAAAGACGCCAAGCCAGCAGATATGTACTGCACTGGATAAATTTCTCATCCACGGCGGAGATGCCAGACGCCCCCTGGGGCTGATTAACTTTATGCTGTATAAACAAATAGAACACAACACAATTACTTGCCGAGAGTGAGTGTAAGGCACCTTCATTGAAGGCTCCTTGATGCTAGTAAAGCTATCACTAAAGTGCTCCATAAGTGTCGTAGTGTTAATGTATGTCACCCTACAAACAATTTCATCTAGCACAGATAATACAATTCTGTTATAGTGACAAACTTCATAGCAACCTAACTTCTATTAATCATTACGACCCCAAAATAAGCTCAAAGAGCATCATGATATGGCATCAGGTGTATACAACCTCCCAATGTATGCAAATAAAGCTGTTTACAGCGTACCCTGATGGTCAGTGCTCTTTTAAATCCTTTAAAACATTAACTAATGCAGACATTGTTTTTAAGAAAACTTTCCTTACTTCATTAACCCCTTAGCCATTCTCATTTTTTTTTTTGCAATTTTTGTTTTCAAACTGTTTTTTTAATTTTTATTGCACGTGCAGCCAGTGTGTCACGCATGTCTCCACTACCGGTTGTATTTTTGAACATGTGCACCGCAAGAAAAAAATATTGACAGTAACATGTGCTGCCATCTCTCGGCGGTGCAGCAAACTAAGCTCTAAACGAGCCTGGGTCATCCAAAACAGCCAAGAAGCAAGTGAGGGTGCGCAAACAAGCTACACGCGCCCTATACGGTTTGGGGACGGCTCTAACTAGAAGAGCTAGGCTCGTTCAAAACGGTTAAAAGGTTGAAAAGGCTTCAGGTGTTTCAGCAGCCTTCACGAGTTAGAGGCGAGGGGAATTAGGCAGAGCACGTCGTGACAAATCCTCACCGGTCTGACAGACATCTCCCTGGTAAGACGTCATAGAGCAGTCACAACTTGTCAGATTGTTCTTCCAGTCCTCGATGCAGAGGCCACTGTGGTGGCACGGCGTGGAGTCGCACATCATCTTGCAGCCCGGGCGAATCTGACCTGAAGCAATACACAGCAATGTCAAGACCACGTGACGTTAGCGTGACAAAGAAATTTCACATCTCGTGCAACACAGAAGAGAAAGATATCAGATGATGTTCTTAAATTCCAATGTGTATCAACAAAACATATCAAACTGAAAGCACAAAGAGTTTGGCTCTTCTGCAGTGGCTGAGCATCGTATGACACAACCAGATTGATGAAGCAATTTTGGCTATTGTTCTAGTGCCACGAGTGCTCCAGAATGCACCGCTCAAACATGCCATCCCCCCTTAATACCACAATCCTAATACCATACTTTCCCTAGTTAAAACCCCCCCAAAAAATCACACTGTCTTTTTTGAACTACATGTAACATTACCTATTTCACAAATGTCAGCACTGTAAAAGAAGTAGAAGTGTGAAAATAATTGAAACTTCGAATACTTTACAAATAGTGTTTGCTATTCCATTCGATTTTCATCAAAAGTTGACTGCTTGAAGTGTTTGTGTTTTTCTAATAATTCCATAATTACGAAATGTGCCTTCAGAACGTCTCGATTTCACATGTCAAGTTTCACTGCAATGCACAGGTAGTCTCACACCACGCTCCACTGCTTTGCACTGGTGCATCCGCACCGAGCTTCACAGTTTTTCACGAGTGTGCTTGGACAAAGGCTCACGCAGCGGAGCATCTCAGTTGGCTCGATGGGCTCAAGAAGTTTGATCACTATTTGAGGTCAACCATCTTTGGATGCAATTATAGGCTCACTGTTAATTTGAAAGGGCTGAAAAAAAAAAGACTGTCAACTAATATTCAAATGAATAAGGTAGCCATTGCTAAGCTTGTTTTGTTACATTATTTTTATCTGACTCGTTTTATTTTTTATTGAACACAAGTATGTGAAATGCCTCTCATGCAATAAAACAGTTTCTTTTCACATGTACGCTCGCTGAAAGAAAGCTTCCGCTCCGATTTATTAAAGTGTCCATGCTCAGTGGACATCAAATGTTAAATATATTTGTATTTGAAACTATTCAATTCCATTCAGTCAACTTTTAAAATTCATATTTAATTCATACTGAAATACTTAATATCTGCGGACCTCTGGCTTATTAGATGCAATTTTGTTAGCAACGTTTTCGCATCTTGGGGCTTCTTGGGAGGTGAGAAGTTCAAACCTTAGGTGATATTCGCACACCGCTAAAAAAAAGTTTCAACAAGGGCACGGCTGTAATGTCAGATGCAACTTTTGGGGGAAAGTCACACAACTGGGCCACTTTGAAGACATCGAGTTCGAACCTTTGGTCACGTTCTGGTTCTCGACGTCCTTGATGAGGTCGACTTGGACGTTGCCAATGCGCAGACCCTGGAGGCAGCCCACCAGGCCGGGAAGGTTTGTGGTGGCACCCATGAAGTCCACCCCTCCCAGGTACATCTGACTGTTTGGGACGCTCTCGAACGTCCCACGGGCCGGCTTCACCAACTCTGCGTGCCGAAAGAGTTAGGCCAAGGTGAGAAACTAACCCGCATCCGGCAAAATTATACTTCCAAGCAATTTAAATGTACGCATTTTCCCAGGCTACAAGTTTAGCCTTTGTATAAGCCACACCCTCCTATGAACGGCTGTTTTCAGAATAAAAATTTGGTATGTGAGTAGCACCAATTTGTATAAGTCGCACCTATGGGTATTCATATGCCCAGCACAGCGAAACTGCATTTGAAAGCCCGCACCTGTCTATTATGATCGCAATATATCCACAAGCGAGAGCAAGTTTTAATGTTCTCGACTTATACAACAAAAAGTGCACATAAAACGCACTGTCGCATATAAAAAAACACCAACAAAGTATATCTAAAAAAAAAAAAAAAAAAATGTGACTTTTACATTGGGAAATATGGTAGGTATAATGGTTTGTCAGTCTTCACAGACTTGTCGAGTATCTCCAGGGGCCCAAATCTACATGGCGAGACCAAACAGTGTGGGGGCACCGGGAGGGCATCGCCGCCTGCTGCGACTGACCAGACCCATACTGCCGACCAATAGTAGCAGGCGGTGATGTCACACTCCCTTGGTCCCGCCTGGTCTTGCCGTGTAGATTAGGGCCCAAGGAAGCTGCATAAAGTTTCGGGGAGGGCAAAGTGACATTCACGACGATGGGAGTCAAGAAAAAACACCGTGGCGAATGACGGTTTTGCTGAACACGTGTTGGAATGACGGTGAGCCCTTCTCTGAAAAAAAGCAAATTTAAAAGCTGATTCCAGGTCTTAATAACTGGCTAAATCTGTGCAGAATTATGTGCAGATCTGCGCAGAATTATGTGCAGTATGCATCTGAAATTCGTGAATACTAAAACAGTTTCCATTACGCTTGCTTTTTTGCCCATTTTGTCGGAGGTTAAAGGGAACAAAAAAACTGCCCTCATGCATATTGAAGCAGCATCAGAGGGCCACGCATCCAATGCACCGCGTACCGAGTTGTTCTCCCTGTATCCAGGGGTCCTTGTAGTATGTGGTGAGGAACACAGCAGGGTGAGGGATGGTGACATTGTTCCCATTCACTTGCAAGACGGTGTAGTCTGCGTGCCTGTCCACAAACACTTGGACGATTCGTCCAGTTGCCAGGTCTGTAAAAGGACGCATAACATTACACTTGACATTTGCTGATGCTAGCCTTTCTAAAAAAACAGCTCTTCCCCCCACAAAAGAAAATACTTTCCATCTGTCAAACACTTAGCACATTGTGTATGAGTTCCTCCTGTGCTCCTCCCTCCTCTCCTGCTCATCCCTCCTCCTCCTCCTCCTCCTCACACGTTGCATCATGGGACATTTCCCATAATGCAACGCGTGACGTGAGGTCACCTGACCTTCTTGACGTCACATGGCCCTCGTGACATCACGTGACCCTCGCAACATCACAAGTCCCGCGCATTGCATTATGGGACATTTCTCATAATGCACCGCGCGGTGACGGCAACGGCGATGGCGATGCCGACGCCGCTCAAGCCGGAAACGGACGCGTAACAGCCGCGCTCTAAAAAAAATAGAAGTCCAGATTTAAAATTGTGTAGAGAGTGCAACTTTTTACTGAAAATAAATGGTTCTAAGTAGCAAATCAACTTAATATGGTAATACATGACCAGTGCAAAATGCAGCCAGCACCCATCAAGAAATGTAGCATTGTGTTTTTGTTTGTTTTTTGTAAAATCAAGAAACATTTATAGAAAAGCAGTAACTTCTTTTACCAATTGATGGGCAAGGTTTCACATACCAAAACACTATACACCAACTCATGTTTACAAACAAACCGGAGCACCCGTAGCGGACGCCACCGGCGCCGCGCATGCGCGGTGGACGGTGGGCAAGAAGCCCGCCGTCGCCCATAAACAAACCATTGAATTGCGTTGTTGTCGGCGTCGGTGGGAGTCCCCGTGCTCTTTTTCGCGTTGGAATTGTTGATTCTACGTCCTCCTAACAATTTCTGACTACTTGAGCGGCTTCAGCCAAACTATCGAGGCAAAACTTCGCGTGAATAATGTGACGTGTGGCTATTCATTTCACGTGGACGCCGCAGAATGGGCGCTAAAGCCTGACTCCCACGATGAGATTCTGCTCGCTATTTTCAGTCGCGACGTCGCTCGGACTGCAAAAGCGTGGACCGTAGCTGAGATGGTGGGCATCGATACTGAAAACAGCAAGTAGAATCGGGCATTACAAGTCGGTGATGGCCACTGGTAACAATGATCAACAACTTCTTGTATCTGTTTACACTTAGCCGACTTACCCCAACCAACCTTCAAATGTGTTTTGAGGCCTGCACTTAGTTCTTATTGCAATTACCGGGTCAACGTTTGGTTTACGGGCCGCTGTCGTTTGACCGAGCTGACGACAAAAAACAGCCAAGTTTGAAAGAGCAGACGACAGTTCGAACGCACGCGCAATGGAGTACGGGCAAGAAGCACCGCGTCCCGCGTCAACAAACCTTTCGAATGTCACGTTGTCGGCGTCTGTGTGAGTCTGCATATTCTTTTTCGCGTTGGAGTTGTCGATTCTACGTCCTCATCGCAATGTCTTACCACTTGAATCGCCTGAGCGAAATTATCAAGGCTCGTTACGCCGCTAAACTTTCCGTAAATAATTTGACGTGCGGCGATTCATTCGCATGAACGCTGCAGAATGGACGCCAAAACCATGAAGAGATTCTTGTAGCTATTTTCGGTCGCGACTTCGCTCGTGCTGCAAAAGCGTAAAAGGTAGCGGCGATGATTGACGTCGATACTGAAAATCGGAAGCGGGAACAGACCAAGCGTAACAAGTAGGTGATGGCCACCGGTACCAATAATTAACATCTTGTATCTACTGTTTACACCGAGCTTACTTAAGCCTTTTGAGGCCTGCAATTACTTCTTATTGCGATCACCGGGTCAAAGTTTGGTCTACGGGCCGCTTTTGTTTGAACGAGCAGACGACAAAAAGCAGACAACTTTGAAAGAGCAGACGAAAGTTCAAACGATCAGGCGGCCGTGTGAATTTAAAGACGCACTGAACCCGTGGGTGGTCCGGACAACTTGGGGGTTTTCTCTCGTTCATGTTAGAACAAAGCAAATACATGTGGCGACCACAAATTGTGGCCCGCACACGCAATCGTAGTTCGACAGCGTCTGGTTTGCCCTTTTCATGGCTACTATCCACGTTCTCGTACGTACGGAGGGTGCAAAAACACATGAAAACTGATCTTCAAACCTTTCCAGACTGTCTTGGTAAAGCCCCCATCGCAGCATTTTGACGAGAAGGCAGGTTTTTTGTCTCGTTTCTTCCAAAGGAACGCGGGAATGCATGTCTGGCACGGCAACTTCTGCCCACCGCCCCAGACCGGAAGTGCGTCCGGCGCGCCACCACCGCGGCGTGACGTAGGAGAGTTGAGTTGGTGTATAGTCATGTGCAAATCGTGGATTTTCAGTTCAAAGCAAATTGAATGCGAATAGTGGTTTTCGCCGAATATTTTTGAATTCAGTATTTTTTCAGTCTTTCATTACCGTGCACCACGGTTAAACGAAAATTCAGCTAAACTCATGAATGTTGTTCCCAACTTTTAACCTGTCCACTTCTAGGCGCAGTTAATTTTAATATTACTATATGAACAGCAGCACATAAACGAGAGATTTGTCGCGGCTATCCAGATCGAAGGAATTTATAAACTTGCTTGCTATATATATGCAAGTATTCTTTCTTCTATTTCAAATTGGGCAAAAAAAATTATACAAGCTTGGTTATGCTGACAAAGACTGGTAAGCACGGAATCTGCAACGGGTCTTCCAGGGAAGAAGAGAAGGGAGTCTCAAGGGCACCGCCTGTTGAAGGTTGGCTGACATTTCCGACACACCCCGTGAGATGACGCTACATGATTGGAAAGGCCACGAAGCGCGTAAGCTCATTCTTGAGTCGTGCGAATGAGCTTGCTCTTGCATGGTCTATGTTAACGAGCCAGCAAAGCACTTGGCTCACAATCACAAGGGGCTGAGTTCATCCAGCCGGGGGACAGAAGACTTTTTATATGGTTCCCTATGGGCATAACTCAGTGTTGGTTTTTCGCTACAACCAACTACTACAGTTGGCCGTAGCGGCTGGCCCTTACAACCAAATGTTTCAGCCAAATGTTACAAAGCTCCATGAAAATCAGCTAATATAAACGCATTTTGTGTTAAAAAAAGAAGTACAAACAACGAACACGGGCTGTCAAGACGTTGCTGACCAGCATATAACAAGAATTTTGTTAATTCAAACTCTTAATTCAAACTCGTGGATAAATCAAACTAACATGCAGGTCCCGTCCTATGTGTCTCCAGGAAGGAAACTCCCGGTAATTCAAACTTTGCATTATTCCAACAAAGTTCTGGTGCCCCTTTGGTTTAAATTAACGAGATTTCACTGCACTCTTGTATAATCATGGTGGGTTAGCCCCGCTGAGTGTGCTTCTCACCAACACCTGTGCTAGGTGAAACACCTGCACTGCAGGGAAGTAATACCCACAGAACTCGTGGCTCTGCAGGTATAGCCAGTGCAATTACCAGTGCACGGGTGCTCGGTGAGAAGCGCACTCAATGGGGCCAACTCGCTGCGATCAACACTTCAGGAAGTATGAATATCACAGCTCCCCTCGGAGCGAATAATGAATAGAGCATTATTCGGAACTACTCTATTTAAAATTTTAATATTCCCACATCGCTACAAAACAGTAAATATACATACAGTGTTAACCAAACTTGTATGTAACGCACGTGATATATGTTTTCTCATGGCAGTGTTATCCTGGAAAAAAACTGAACAATGGCTTCTTGACATAGCATTTCAGGATGGTTTGTTCAGTACTGTGTCATGATACCCTAAGCTTGCTCGGCTGCCACTGAGATAGCACATCCATGAGAAAACACACATTTGGTTTGTTGATGAGCAATGTACCAAGAAGCTTGAGAACCCCTGTCATACAGAATATTAAATGAAGAGCAGTGTACCTGGGGCCTCCACAAACCCCTGCACGATGGACCTCTGCGAGTTGAAGGTGAAGACGACGCGCTTGCGCTTTTCAAAGTGGAGCTGCACAAAGTTGTTGAGGTGGTTGAAAGAATAGAGGAGCAGGGCCTCCGACTGGTATGTCCGGAAGCTGAGCAGGATGTTCTCCGCCAGCACGGGGTCAGAGATGTTGCCCAGGGTTGCCCGGTGGTAGCACGAGCTCGAAGTGATGAACGTCATGGAGTTCTGGTTCAGGTCTGGCGAGAGAGGGAGCCATGCCCACCATGAGCGAACGCGATCGGAAGCTCGCAACAAATTGGCGGGCTTCTATGTTTAGCGACATAAATGTCCCTCCCCAAACATAAGTAGCATATCTGGTTTGTTCCTTCATGGCACTGGTGAGCTTGGTTCATTTATATACACTTATGGGTCTACGAAAGCAATGAAGTTGAGCTGGTGACATAGGGCAAAAGTGAAACAGAATATAGAACTTGCAAAATCGGTTTCATATCCTTTTAAGAAAAAATATAATTAAAATTGTTCGCTTACTTAGCGAAAACAATGACCAAACACGAAAAGTTTGTTGACAAAAATGGTCGAGGTTGCCCACAACGTGGCAACCTCCACTTGTTCGGTTAGCACATTTTAAGCGGAAGAGAGAAGTTCTGAACAGTGACCCACGCAAAGAAACAAACATATACTCAACTGTTTTCACAGTTGGTGCCACTGTGCGCCAACGAGTTCTCGCACTCACAGTTGTACGAGCCCCAGTTTTCGTGGCAGGTGGCTCCATTTTGGCACGGATTGGACGAGCAGGAAGGCTGGCAGTCCATCACAATGTCGGGCACCCTAAGATGTCCAAAGGTGCGCCATAAAGAAACATTCTCGATGGCCAGTTCGAATGCAAGGATTGCGAAAAGTTTTGAAGTTGAAAAATGATATAGTACATATTGTATTTCCACAAACCTAACACAGCCTTACTGTTTAAAGCCCTTGTTTGGTCTCAATGTTGTCTTATTAGAACCAGCTAGAAACATCTGCCAAAAAGGTCTACCAGCGGTGCAACAACGGCAGCATTCAGACTTGGCAGAGGCCCTGAGAAAGCCACACATTTAGAAAAAAAAGGGCTCGCAAAAGTGACAGGCCAGAGGCAGGAGGGATGGCACAAATTTTTAAATGCTTGCACTTTCGAGCAGTACAAGCAGAGCTGAAAAATACCATAAAAATCCCCCCCCCCCATTCTCAGTTCATTCATAATTTGCAGCAGTACAGCACCACAATAATCAAGGTGTTGCATGTTGCTTGAAAGAAGACCACGAAATCTATTTTTTTTCTTCACTGCTTATGGGGTTGTCATAGGTTTGTGAAAATACAGTATATCACGACAAGGTGGTTAGGCAGTTAAGGAATCGGCTGAGGCAGTAGGCTGATAGCCTCTTATCGAAAGCAGATGGTAAAAATGCTGCGTGAGGGTAGTGATTGAAGCGGAACCTTCGTTAGCAGACGGCATCTTTAGTTAGTCAGGGTGTGCAGCTCATGCCAGTAGGAATTGTCACAAACTAAACTCACCTCTTTCTATTCCTAAAGGGGGAGGCAAATTGTGCAAAAGTTTAGAAACAGAAATGAAAATTGTGCAATTATTCCTAAGAGATACCTCCTCCAGTATAAACCCAACACATAACATAGCCACAACCGAAAGAAGAAAAGAAACTTTGGGAGTCAGATATCTAGCCTGTTATGAGTACTCAAATATTAAAAAGAACAAAACAAATGTACAAAAAACTTCCTATAACACTTACCATCTCTAAGCTTCAATCCTCTTGTGGGAATGACTAGTCTAACAAGTATATATTACTTTGGCTATACTAGCTTATTACTGTACAACTTTACTATTTGCTGCCATACAACTTTATACTCCTTGTTACTGTTCAACTTTAATGTTTGCAACTGTACAACTTTACTGTGATGAAAGATTAGGACTAACGAAGACATGGTCAGAAGCCACGAAAAAACAAACCCAATGAATAAAAACAAAACTAAGAAATTCGAGGTGTTGAGAAAATAAACTTAAAAGTCAGCAAACCTTCTGCTCAGATGATTGTAAAGATTGACAACATGGTTGTTGATAATGAGTCCCCTGAAGCAGCCAATGAAACCTTCCGTGATGTCTGGATGCGTCAGGAGGTCCCTGAAATAGTCAAGTAATCTCAGTCACCTGCAAGGTCCGAGAGAATACAAGTGAAACACACCTCACCTAAAAGAAAAATGTTCTAGGTAGCATTGTCCAGAATACAATCAGTGGATTAGTTCTATCCCATAGTGTATCTGATTTGCTAGGACAATGAAACTAAATGACAGCATTGTTTCTACACTTCTCCTTAACACTGGCTCTAACGAGAGGAATGCCCATTCTCCGTAAGCATTTGAAGTTCAACATAATTCAAACAAATTAGAGTACATATTCAATGAAATCAAGCAACTAAAGATCATAAATTCACATGTGCTTAATTAACTGATAGTTGAGCAACAGTGATGGTAATATGATAGCAAAAGAACAACAACAAATGATTGATAGTTAAGCAACTGTGATAGATAATGGGTACTTAAGCAACTGTGATAGATAATTGATAGCCAAGCTACTGTAGTAGATAACTGAAAGTTAAGCAACCGTGATAGTTAACTGATAGTTAAACGATTATGGTAATGGACCACAGAAAGCAAAGCAACTGTTGAGAGTTAATTGATAGGAAGAACATGCGATAGTTAACCGATAGGTTAAGAACATGCAATAGTTAACCGATAGGATAAGAACCTGCGATAGTTAACCAATAGTTAAAAGCAACTCTAATATGGCAGAGCAACCAACAGCGAAGAGACAAAGGACCCACTTGGGCGCTCCCCCGATGTAGAGGGGCCCCTCGAAAGGCCCGACTCCCTCGTCCTTGCCGAGGTCGACCATGACCGAGTCGAGGTTGACGGTGAAACGCATGTGGTGCGTGTCGTGGTCCAGCCACACCTGCTGCCACTCCCCCGTGTTCAGGCGGCTGCGGGATAGCAACTTCACAATGCGCGGCTCCCCATTTACCGTGTACTCGAAAGACAGCTCGTAGTCTGCAAAGGAAACAGAATGCAGTACATGCAGGCCTTTGAGTGTCGACCGGCACCCTCGAAAAGAGGCCCAACAGCTTTCGAAACTCGAACTAAGGGATCGTAAAATGACTCTGATATCCACAGTGGTATACTCAGACAAGATGAATGCACTTCTGCCATTCGGTACTGACTCTTATTTTATTTCTTCAGGGTATGCAAGTGGGCTAATTGGTACAGCAATCCCTCGTTACAACAAAGTCAACGGGACAGCAATAAATTCTATATGAGCGGTAATTCAATAAAAGCGATAGAGCTAAAAAAAGAGTGCCAGGTGTCTTCAAAATGAACAGGAACACTGCAGAACGCTCAGACTGTATATCGAATCAAACAGACCTTGGTTATGAAGATTTCACAGCAGCTTTATCGAGTGAAAAAATAATTAGACGGAGTGTGCTGATATTTTCATCTGGGCATCAGTTCTCCTAGAACTGCTCCAGGCATTGCAAGAATGCTGTCACCACTGCCGCACTCCACATTTTTTCGAAGCAGCCGTAGGGTGTTTCGCATCTCCACAGTCGTTGGCATTTTCCGAGGTGCCTCTCCAACGCCGCTTCCTGTTTATCCTGGTTGTACAATTGCAGCATCCATGGCAGGAGCAACAACGGAAACGTCCACATCGACAAGCACATATGAATACAAGTTATTGTATCGGTGGCTTCGCCAAAATGCTTTCAAAGACTTCCGTAGAGATCGTTGCAGCTTTGGGAATCGTGCGCCAGCTCGGCAAGCATGCTCGTGAGAGAAAATTTGACGTTCAAAAAGCAGTTGGCGATCTTTCGTCTTCGAGTCGTGGGCACGCTTACTTTTGCATAAGAAAGCTTCTGATACCCATTTAGTATGCCTTGCTTGTTTTGCAAAATGGTGGACAGTGTCGAACAGCCAATGCCGGAATGTTGAATTCTTTGGAAATTTCAAACTCGGGCAGGCCACTTTTCTCAACCTCGCAGATCTAAGCGACTTTCGGTGAACACTGCCAATCTCCCATATGACGCACATCACATGTGCATGTTGTACATATTACGCTGCAGGCCAAGCAGGCACAGGAGCGCGTGTCAGGGGCTTCCGAAGGGATGATCTCCTTTGCGCTTTATGGGCTCCATTGCTCTCTTGACCTGGTTCCGACAGGAGTCGGGCAGTGTCGGCTGCGGGCACCGTGTCGGAACGTGGATGCTGCTTCCACTTCTCTTTGCCCGCATCAGAGCATCAGCATTGGAAGCGGCACTCTGCGCTCTCTGCCTTCCGTCATCCGTTTGCTCCGTTTTCTTGCTTGCCGTTTTTCCAGTTTGCCGTTTGCCTCAGTGAAGAAGGGAAAGGCACCGCAAAGGTCTCCATGCACCTTCGCGTAGGCTTGCATGCTTTCAGCATCGCGGCTTTCGTAGTAAGCGTGGTCGGCTGCCGATACACTTTAATCCGATTCTAAATGCATGCATTTCGGTCGGAATTACGTTGAACTTCAATAAAAGCGATAATTTGAAAAAAGCAATACTGTTATAAGGAGGGAATACTTTACATAACCACTATGTAAAAGCACAAAAAAAAAAACAAGGACACAGAGCAGGAGTAAACACACGAAGCGCTTCCATCCACATTTTTTTCCCGTTTCTTTATTACTGCACAGCCTGATAACTTGAAAACAAAAATAATTGAAGCCAAATGTAGGTAAAAGATTATGTCAAAACATTCTAATCCTGGGTGCAGCTGTGAATATTCCTAGAGTTGATTCTTTTCTGTAGCAATAAATGACAACAATGGCGTCCTGGTCTTGATCAGGTAAAGATCTACATGGCATAGCTTTGCTTCGAACACTGGTCTTGGAGCTTTTTTTCTTATTTTATGACCAAACTTAATGAAACTGCACAAGCTTGTTCAGCTTTTTGTGCTGATTTCATATATCTGGTCATTTTCTCAGTCAGTAGCATTGTCCTCAAAATAATTAAAACTTGCCTGCCTTTGTTTGGAAAAACGATAGAAAAAAAACTGCTCAACAAAATATTCTTTCTAACACATGGCTAGATACTACGAAGTGTAGAGAATACAATGTTGGAAGCACTTTTAAGATAAACTCACTATTAGTGATTTTACCCCACATTGAAGTTCAGTGCTCAATGCATGTCTAACAAGTAATATAGCAAAATATCAAATAGAAATTTTCTAGACTTATATTAAAAACTCTGCTCACAACATTGTATGCTTCACACATTCAGCTACACATTTCAGGAATGGTTGTATTTCTATCTGCACTAGATGCTGAGATATCCCTCCTTTAAATTTTCAACGAGTCCGAAAATTGTGTTTTGTGAAAACAATGTTCTAGAGTCAACTTCAATGCACATGCAGCCCACATAGATAATATAAATTGATTTATAGCTCAAATATTCAATCCCGAAATTATAAGCCTGGTAGATTCAGAAGAACAGCCATCGCCATTTTCAAAAAAATGCAGTTTTAGAAAGTTTTTGGCTCCAAAGACCCATGTCCCCCCTTGATGAAGTGTGTGACCCCAAAAGAAAGTGGTAATCACTCTAATTACAGTTGCCTATCGATTTTTCTGACCTTGCAGGAACCAAAAAAAACTCAGAATAATAGACAAGGCAAGCGTTTTAATCTGCTGATTTTCTAATCAGCAGATTAAAACGCTTGCCTTTATTACGTCTAAGCGGGCTTAGAAAAGCCGTCAATAGTGCCTTGTTTCAGGTTATGCTTCCACTTGCATTCGGCCACTTTCTATTAGCTTGAGAATTGCAGCCTTTTCTCGCGTTATGGTCAAGTAGTTCCAGCGCATCTTAGCGACACTTCGCAGTGCCGTAAGAAGAGATGGGGCCATGACGTCCAAGCCAGCGTAGTCCGAAAACATGATTCACCGAAATAAGAGGCACAAGTCCACGACTGCAGAATGGCGAATGAACAAAGCAAATGATAACAATGATGATAATGACGTGCAACTAGAGAGAAAAAAATCCGTAGCATCACCTAGCGGTAGGACTTAGCAGCACTCAAGTAGTGCTGCCAAACCTACCTAATCTATGTGCAGCCAACATAGAATCTAAAATGGAAGCTTCTTAGGCGTGCTTCCTGCTAATCGCTTGCGACAATTTTTTCGAACAATTTAACTTTCAGACTTCAAACTGTTTGAAACATTGATCATGAATATGCACTATTTCTATTGGGTAGGTCATGGTTCCTCCTTTAGGTCCAAAATATTGAACAAGTCCAAATTATCGGCGACTGTAGTTTATATTTTTATCACCTTATATCTCTACTATAGAATGCTTACCATATTCATAAGTGAGCTATGTGCACAATGAAGAACTTGATGTCCACTAGATATTCATTTGTCTTCCTGCATGACTTGCACCACCAACTTAATATGCATTCGTCGGAACTATCAAGTAAGTCAGTGACTTTTGTACACTACTCACCACTCTATTAAAATCATTAAAATCACTCACCACTGGTGATCATGGCAAGGAGGTAGCCATGCTTGTCGTGCAATGCAGCCTGATACAGAACGACTGCACGCTTGCTAGAAGTCCTGAAGCTGAAGGCAAGGTCTCCACGCCTCCAGCCAGTTTGTACTTCCAAGTAAGAAGGAGCTGTCTTGAATGTGATCACGTACTGTTGCGTGTCTGAAAGAAAACGTGCCAATCAAAATAAATTGTGTATACTTTTTTGCATCACTGGATACGTCTTAGGTATACACGCTCACGCCCACAGCAATGATGTTAAAGCATTACATACGCTTCTCTTTTACAAACATGGTCAGAGAGCTACGAAAGGCAGCACACTCATGCCGGAAAGCAGGACAAACTGATATCTTCTTTCTGGCATTCTTATCACATTAGTGACTATAGAGTGATGCACCTTAACTCAGATTGCAATCCCTTATATACACATTAAAAAATGACAGTTTGTTCAATGAAAATAAGCAATCGCCTAAAACAGCACGCTGGGTTATTAGCTGTCAAGTTCTATATCGCTGTGCAGAGTATGTTCGGTCTTCAGCACTACTGTATTTTGTTCTGAATGTTATCTATTACTGAAGTCTCACCAAAGCAGAATGAATTGTCATAAATGGCCATTTGTAAAGCCAAAATGAGTAAAGACTTTGCTTTTCCAGGTTGTGCAAAAAAAAAATTAAAGCCAAAAACTAGTCATGTTTGAATGGTGGATTTTAAGTTTGAAGCAAATTTGAAGCAATATCGGTTTTGGTTGGACACTTTCTGATTGAATATAGAATATTTTCTCCAAGCCGCTCACTACCGTTGCACCATGCTTAAACGAAAACTTAGCTAAACTGGTTAAGGTTGTTCCCAAGCTTTAACTTGTTCATTTATAAGGTAATTTTAATATAACCATATTTATGGACTGCAACCTCAGTAAGTCCAATGCCTTGAGATGGCAAGCAAATGACGGGTTTGACATAAAATTAAACCTATAGAGATGCCCAGCTGTATCTAATAGAGTGGATTCACGAATATTGTTATATGTAAATAATCTTGACTCAATCACAAATTTAAAAAAAAGAGAATCGCGAATGAGGAACGCAGGTTGTCAGGGCATCTCTGCCTAACATACTCTTGCATAACAGCAACAGTTTGGCACTGAAACTTTTAGTGGCATGTAGATATCAACATTCACAAAGTCGTTTCTTTTCAAATACACCAGGCGCGCTCGTGCACAATCCCGCATTGAAGGTGTGCTTCTCTCCCAAGCACGCAACTGCGATATTCATACTTTTCCAAGTGTCGATCGCCGCGGGTTACTCCATTGAGCGCGCTCCTCACTGAGCACCAGTGCACTGCAGAGAAGCAACACCCACGGGAGCAAGCTCCGCAAGTGTTGCTTCTCCGTAGCGCACCGGTGCGCGGTAAGAAGTTCGCTCAATGGGGCTAACCGCTGCCATCAAAACTAGAAAACATGAATATCGCAGTTCATCTCGTAACGAATATCGAACAGTGTATTATTCGAAACTACTATTCGAAATTTCGAGTATTCGCACAGCACTACCAAAAACCTTTTTCACTGGTTGCTTTTGGCAAGTGCCTCTACATAACTTACCATTTGAGAAAGCATACTATAAACTTCTTTTGAGTTTCATTCATTAGCTTCGCTTATTTATTTTGCATGCTCATGCTACCCCTCAACTAAAAGATGTGTAAGTCTACACAAACTTTAGCCTCCATCCATTTTGATCATGTTGCTTTTTACATATTTGATGTAGCCTTGTACTGACTGATGGTTGATCTTGTTTCCTATATATATTGTCTGGACATCACACAAGTTCAGTTTCGGTTTCGCCTCTGTCAGGTTCGCTTTCCGAACTAAGAACCTTTGCACCCACATCAAGACTCATGTCAAGCTTCCTCTTGTGCATCTAAACCAAAAAAATAGTTTTGATGTGTGGGATGTTTTTCACCAAAATTGTATTTTTGAATGCCTGCCTACTGGTTTGTTTACCTTTTATCACTTTTAAATGCAACTGAACATACATGCATTTTTAATATAAGCTAGATTTCATTTTGCTCATTTATTGTATACCTCCTCCTACTTGGGCTTATTAAAAAAAAAGGTTTAGAGAAAAGTCGTGAAGCGAAAACGTAAACACACAACAACAACTGGATCCAAGATCAATCTCACTGGTGTCCGTGCACTCCAGGGGCCCAAGGGTCATCCTCGCTTCGGCATCGTGTGCCAAGCCCTTGGGTTGCAGCATGTAGATGCGCACAATCCCGAGGTCCTCCTTGCGGTGGTACACTCCCTCGTCGAGGCGCCAGCGCGCGTCGCCCACGTCGCAGTTGCACAACCGCGAAGCGTTAGAGCAGCTCCGTGTCTCCGCACACTGACACCAGGCGGGGTGGTCGCTGCCGATGCTCGAAACGTAACGGTTGTCCGCCGACGACTCCATCCAGGTGTAGCTCTGCAGCCTGCAGGGTGAATCAGAGAGCATATGCTAGTGGCTTCGACGAACTAAGGCCGGCGCGTCCATTTGCGTGCACCAGCCTTAATGTGATGCCGAGTCAGGTCATTCCATGATGCCACTGTCATGTGACGTCATAGAGGTTACACGCCACGGACACAAAATCGGTAAGGATGGCCCTACAAATGCTACGTATTTAAAACAATCCAGTCTTCTGTGTGTAAAGGGCCTATGTACAGCTAGTACTGAAGAAAGCAAAACTTAAAACCAGAAACCTGATTGTACCACTGCATTAAACAACCAGATGTGTTAATACTGGAGCACTGAAGATTATGTAGCATCATGGGAGCTTACCCCAAGGGAGCCTTGAAGCACTCATAAGTGATGTGCTGGTAACACTGTTTCGATGCATAGATGAGTGACTGCAACATTTCAGGGGTGAACTCGCGGTATGTGATGTCCATGTAGAACCCTTCCAGGCCGTACTTGCGCACCACCTGCAAACATTAAGGTTACCCGGGGAAACAAACAGATTATTGCTCACAGGCAAAATGATTTTTATTATATTGTTTATATATTTCTAAATCAAATTATGAAAAAATAATTGTTTATGTAGTTATGAATAACAGCAAAGTAATCTCTCATTATAACGAAGTCAACGGTACGAAAAAAAAGTTCAATATAAGCAGTAATTCGATAAAAGCGAGCCAAAAAACAGCGAATGCAGCCTTGAAATTGAACGGGAACACTGCGGAACACTGTGACCATATATTTATTAAACAAAACTCTGTTATGAACAACTCGCGTCAGCTTTACCAAGTAAAAAAAAATATTACATGGAGTTTGTCAATAATTTCATCCAGGCATCTGTTCTCCTAAAACTGCTCCAGGCATCGGAAGAACACTATTACCGCCGCTGCACTCCACATTATTTCAAAGCAGCCGTAGGATGTTTCGCGTCTTTTCAGTCGTCAGGGTTTCCCAAGGTGCCTCTAGGACATCGCTTTGTATACCCTGGCCGCATGCAAGGTCTACGATCGCAGCATCCGTGGCAGGAGCAACAACGGGAATGTCCGTATCAACAAGCGCGAATGAATCTAAGTTATTTTCGGTGGCTTCGCCAACATGTTTTTACAGACTCCTGTATAGATCGTTGCAGCTCTGGGAATTCTGCACCGGCTCAGCAAGCATGCTCACGAGAGAAAATCCGACGTGCGCGAAAACACTTGGTGATCTTTCATCTTCGAATCGCGGGCACACTTTCTCTTGATGAAAGACTTCTGGAACCCATCCAGTATGCCTCGCTTACTCTGCAAAATGGTGGACAGTGCCGAACAGCCGATCCTGGAATGTCAAATTCTTTGGCGATTTCGGACTTGGGATGGCCAATTTTCTCAACCACGGAGATCTAACTTCCTTTCTCCCATACGGCGCATGTGTACCCGTGTACGCCTGTCCGCTCAGGCGCGTGCGTCGAGGGCTTCCGAAGGGATGGTCTCCTCTGGGCTTCATTGGCTCCATCACTGCCTTGACCTGATCCCGACAGGAGTATGGTAGCATCGACCGCGGGCACCGTGAGTAGCTTCAGAACGTGGACGCTGCTCCTGCTGCTCCCTGGCCACGTCGGAGCGTCGATGCATCGACACCGGAAGCGGCGCTCTGCCTTCCGTCACTGGTTTGTTCCATTTTCTTGTTCGCCATTTTTCCCAGTTTGTCAATTGCCTCGGTGGAGAAGAGGAAGGGAACGCAAGCGTCTTTGTACGCCTCCGTGTGGGCTTGCGGGCTTTCGGCTCCTCGGCCTTCCTAATAAGTGTGGTCGGCCGCCAACACACCGAATAATCTGGTTAAAAATGCGTGCATTTCAGTCGGGACCACACTGAACTTTGATAAAAGCGATAATATGAAAAAAGCTATTCCATTATAACAAGGGATTACTGTAATTGTTCCAATAACAATGGGTGATGATTTTTTTCTAAAAGCACGTAACTTAGTAGGGTTTTGACAGACAATCCCAAACATCCATTCAGCAGCATTTTCAGACATAGTAATATGATTGACACAGCCTAGGATAGCTATTTTTATTATTAAGGCACTTTGGCAAGGTCAGGGGTCATCTTAACCATGGCCCCTGAATACCTGCATGCAACGTGAAGGCAGCATTCAGAGCCGGTCGTAGCTTGGAATGCTGACTGAACCCGGACACCTGCGTGCCATCCAATTACCTGAACCCTTGCGAGACAGAATGTAGCTTTGATAGGGTTCAAGGCAGCTAGCCTAGACTCATCAGCTAACTAAACCAAACACTAAAAGCAATGTTGAATTAACCTAAGACTGAGGTGGAGAAAAAACATCAAAACGCAGAAGAGACAAAAAATAGACGGGAGACGTCATCCTGTCTATTTTCTGTCCCTTCTATGTTTCGATGTTTCTTCTCTACCCCTGTCACAGGTTGATTCAACGTGGTTAATATTCACCAGCTCGCCTGCACCCTTACCATATTTTCACTAAAACAAAAAGGTGCAAGGGAGGTGACAGAGGGAGACGTACACACCACAGCGCTCTGCTGCGTGCGTCTCCTCTTCGCTGCCTCGAGTCTTTTGTGCCATTGTAGCTCAGCCCAACCAATCAATGTTTATATTCGAGTGCAGGTTAAAGAGAAGTGGGAAAGGTTCCTGCCCACAAATCCCACCACCGTTTTCATTTTAGCAGAGCAAATGCTGAAGAAGAGGAGAGTGAAGAAGAAGAAACCACCAAGCGAGCAGAGAGCTGCAACCTGCAACAGACTACAGTGTAAAACTGCAAGATGCCTCCATTCAGGCTTCACGGCATCGACCGACTGGAAGGCTACCGTACCATTTCCCGCTGCATGTTGTGGTTGACCTTGGTGGCTATGGACCCGTCGGGACGCTGCATGTCGCACTCGACGTGGGCAGGAGGTAGAGGACCATTGCGGTCGATGTCGATCTTGTACGTGCCCGACTTCCGGTAGCCCACGAGGAACAGCTCTTGGCACGTCCGTTTGTATGTGGCTGCAAAGACATTGCTCTTCGATCGGGAGGTTCGCTGTCTTCAAAGATAAAGCGGACACCGATGATGCCCCATGACCAACTTCAAAAGCACCAACCTGAAAGTACTATAAATGTATAGTCAGAGTGTCTAACAGAATTCCTTTCCCCGACAGGACTGCAGCAAAATTCTATGCCTGTGCCACTGTATATACTGTTGGAGCACAAGTGATGAAATGCGGCCAGAAGTCGAGATTTGGCAATGAAATTCTTGTGCCCAAGGTCTTAATGCAGAGTTGTATTTTAACAGAAACCAACTCAGATTTCGCGAGTGTCGCATAGTCGCGTGGCCTGGCATGGCAAGTAACATTGGGTGTCAAGTAACGGTTGTGGGGATTGTGATCCCTCAACATTCTGTCGCGTCAGCGTTTTGGCGCGCCGTGGCGGCCGAGCTGGCGTAGCGAGAGGTGGTGCTACTTACCACTGTGAGTGGCTTCCTCCTCTCCCCCTTGGGGCGATTTCCGTAACGAACCCCCGCACAAAGGAGATCGACGTGTCGCTCCTTGATTGGCCACTTCGCCCCCGCCGTTATCTTAAAACCAGCGGACAGCAGTCTCGCTTTCTTCTTCCTGGGATTCGGCGGCGGCTACAACGGGGAACCTTCCGGCGCACCGGTGAGCGTTTACCCCGTCCTTTGTACATTTGTGAACGACCGTTCGGCCGTGGGCGATCTCCACACCGACGGCGTTCACCAGCTTATAGCCGCTGTGTTGTTGTTATTTTGTTTCATTGTAAATAAACAGTTTATCACCGTTACCAACGTGACTGGTGTCTGTTTGCGCTCAACGAGCAGCATGCCACGCGAGTACAAACCCGCTTTGCGGTAGAACGTCTCGCCGCGAACGTGGTACTCCCAAAGGCAGTGGCCCCAAGGAGAACCACAATTTGGCGCCCAACGTGGGGCTCGAACCCACGACCCCGAGATTAAGAGTCTCGTGCTCTACCGACTGAGCTAGCCGGGCGCCGCCCCCATCGGGGAAATGACGCACCCACTGCTCACGCAATCATGCAGCGTGTCAGGGCGAGAAAAAGCCCGACTGTCGTCGTTGTTGCGCCGCTATGACGCAATGTTCACGGACCGACCGGGCTGCACAAACGAAGTGCGCCATCGCATTGACACGGGCGACGAACTGCCAAGAAGGCAGAACGCTCGACCCGTAAGCTTGGCTAAACGAAAAGCCATCGACCGTGCCCTGGACGAAATGATCGACACCGGAGTCGTCCGGCGATCTAACAGCCCCTGGGCATTCCCCGTGGTGCTGGTCCCGAAGAAAGACGGCAGCTCACGTCTTTGCGTGGACTACCGCCGTCTCAACGACGTCACACGAAAGGACGCTTACCCGCTACCGAGCATCGACTCGATTCTGTCCAACTTGGGCAGTGCGCGGTACTTCACCACCCTGGACGCTAGCCGAGGCTACCTCCAGGTTCGGATGGAGCCAGGTGACGAGGCAAAAACAGCCTTCTGTTGTCACCGCGGGCTTTTCGAATTCACACGAATGCCCTTCGGTCTGTGCGGAGCGCCTATGACGTTCCAGCGATTGATCGACCGAGTACTGGGAGAAGCCAAATGGAAACACGCAATGGCCTATCTCGACGACATTGTCGTCTACTCCAACACCTTCGAAGATCACCTACGTCATCTCGAGGACGTACTCGACCGGCTAAAAGCTGCGGGAATGACCCTGAACCCCGAAAAGGCTCAAATAGCCGAAACCCGCATCGCCTTGCTCGGGTTCGAACTGGATCGCAGGCGCCTTGCGCCACACCCCGACAAACTACAGGCAATCCTGGAGTTTCCTGCGCCAACCGACGTGAGCTCCCTCCGTCGCTACCTGGGAATGGTGAACTTCTATCACCAATTCATCCCAAACTGCGCGACGCTTCAAGCACCACTGACACGCCTATTGCGAAAGTCCGTGAGTTGGAGCTGGGGTCCCGAGCAGGAAGCGGCCTTTCGCCGCACCTCTCGAGCGCTCGCGGACACAGCTGAACTCAAGCTACCCGACTTGAACAAGCCCTTTCTGATCCAAACAGATGCCAGCAATCTTGGCTTGGGCGCGGTCCTGCTCCAACAGCACGAAGGTGTACTCCGATTGGTGGCCTTCGCCAGCCGCTCGTTGACGCCAGCTGAAAGGAACTACAGCACATGCGAACAAGAGTGCTTGGCCATCGTCTTTGCACTCCGGCGTTTCGACATTTATGTCGACGGGACCACTTTCGTGATCGAAACAGATCACCAAAGCCTAATATGGCTCTCCCGACTTCGCGAACCCGCTGGTCGCTTGGCAAGATGGGCTTTGATGCTGCAAAAATACGACTACGTCGTGCGGTACCGGAAAGGCAGCACAAACGTGGTGGCGGACGCATTGTCACGAGCCCCCATAGACTGCACACAAATTTCCGCAAAGACCCAGGCCGAGCCAACGACATCCACATTGTCAGGCGAAGCCGTGACTCAGTCCCAAAGGGAGGCAGCAGATCTGACCACCCCGGACGAGACGATCAACCACCTAGACGCAGTGAGCGCCGTGGGAATCGTGTTCAGCAAAGAAGAGCTTCTGAAAGCCCAGCAGAATGATCCGTTTTGTCGAAAGGTGATCGACGGACTCGCGGAAGAGTCGGACGCCGTGGAGGCGGGCGGTGCGACCGCCAGGCGCAACACTACTGGTATTGTAGTAGGCGCCGAGTGCCGGGACGTATCTGGTATTGGTGCGGGCACGGAGGATTCATATCTGCTGAGCAATGACGGGCTCTTGCTGAGGTACATACCCTCCGAGAACGACTCCGACGAGGCGTTCAAGGTAGTGGTACCCCGCAGTCTGAGAAACGCAGTTTTGCGCTACTATCACGACTCGCACTTGGCCGGACACGCGAGCGGCTCCAAGACTTACTCAAAGTTATGTCGCATCGCCACCTGGCCGGGCATGAAACGGGACGTTTTCCGTTATGCCCGCACCTGCCACTCTTGCCAAAGCTTCAAACCAAGAGGCGGCAAACCCCCGGGCCTAATGCAACCGATTCCGAGCCAGCAATCATGGTCTCTGGCAGCCTGCGACGTGGTCGGCCCCCTACCGAGGAGCCCTAAAGGACACCAGTATCTACTGGTTGTAACTGACCACTTCAGCAAATGGACGGAACTTTTTCCACTCCGTAAGCTGACAGCCCGAGCGATCACGGAGAAGCTCATGGAGGTTTTCACTCGTTTTGGGTTCCCCGAAGCTCTTTTGACTGATCGGGCGAGCTACTTCGTCGGGAAGGTATTCGTGGACGCGTGCAAGGCCCTTGGCATAAAGCACAGAACAACCACGCCGCACCACCCGCAGTCGAACATCACGGAGCGATGTAACAGAAACATCAAACCAATGCTGGCCGCCTTCGCGGAAAGGCACCGTGACTGGGACACATATATCCCCGAGATCGGGTTCGCACTTCGGACCACTCTCAACCGTTCGACAGGCTTCACCCCCGCCTTCCTCACATTCGGGAGAGAGCTTCCGAACCCCATGGACCGTGTCCTAGGGGGGAGCGCCGGGGTGGACAACGCGCAGCCGACGCAAACGGACCACGCGCGACAGCTACAAACTCGGATGACGGAAGCCTTCTCGGAGGCGCGTCGCAATCTCGGGGTAGCACGAGCGAAACAAAAAGCTCAGTACGACCGCTCGCATCGAGATCTCCGCTACAAAGTGGGCGATCTCGTCCTCAGACGCAACCATGTTCTGAGTGATGCCAGCAAAGGCTTCTCGGCCGCATTGGCTCCGAAGTGGTGTGGCCCGTACCGAGTGCAGGAACTTCTCTCCCCACTCGTGTACAAGCTGACAAACTTGCAATCAAGAAAAGTCGGTGGGCCGGTACATGTGTGCGATCTGAAACCCTACCATGAGAGGGAAAACGGGGCCAACGAGCAAACTCAGCCCCCGCAGAAACATGCACACGCAGCGCGAGACGACGCCAGCAGCGAACAACAGTCGTCTCGCTACAATCTGCGGAGACGGAGGAACTATTATCCGAAGTTTTCGTAGAGGCAGCCCCTGTAAGTGGCGAAATGTCACATTAAGGGAAGTGCAACACACAATGCACCGGCTGCCTTCGCGAACGCGCCAGACACCACTGTTTACTGGCAAGCAGTGACCTAGATACGTCACCTCAGCGTTCGCTCCCGGATGAACCCGTAGGGGAATCCCCCAAACACGGCTTCCGAGGGAAAGGGTACGCGTAACTGCCATTGGTCAGTTATTGCCACCTACGCTCACGTGGGCCACATGTCAACGCAAGAGCGCGGTGCGAGCGTCGTCACAAGCGGTCGGAGACCAAGTGGTCATTCTACCGCAGTACGTTCCGCACCTACGAAGAGGACCTCCAGCCTTTGCTTCGCGTCGTTCGGGAGCTGCTGTCTCCTGGCTACGGTAGTTCAGCGGTGTCCAGGGTCCAGAGCTGCGCGTGATTCGTCAGGCGGCCCCGCTACCCCAGCCGGCCGCGGACCAAACCAGCAACCCGTCGTTTTCGTAGGCCGTCGGGATCGTCATCCGGTCAGGGACTACCGGCTCTTCATCTTCGGTATCCTCGCCGCGGTCGGAAAGCTCGCCGACCAGGGACCAGCTGTTCCCATCGTCCCGTAACAAGTCCCAAGGGCCCCAGGGACGTGGCGCAGCTCGCCCAGCAGGGCTCGTAAGGAGCACTGGGACTCCGAGACGGACGTCTACCGCCAAAAGTCCAAGGGCGCCCCTCAAGTACGACGTCTGAGCGTTCGGCGGAATGCTGCTGTGGGACATTCGTCACTTTGGGCTCGACGCCCCACCCCGGCCTGGGCGCTCAGGAGGTGACCCGCCAAGTGCGCGACCGTCACGGGATGACGCAATTGATCGACTGCAGCTGGGAGCTGTACCGCTGGTGAGGGACCGCTGTACAAACTTTTGGACCATGGACCAATGAGCCGGGCTGTTGTTTCCCGTGTAGTTGCAGCAGCTGGCGGCCTTTTTTCTTTTTTTTATTATTTTAGTCTTGTTGTGTGTTTGTGTTGGTCTACCCGTTTGCGGGTGACTATTGGCTAAGGAGGGGGGAGTGTGGGGATTGTGATCCCTCAACATTCTGTCGCGTCAGCGTTTTGGCGCGCCGTGGCGGCCGAGCTGGCGTAGCGAGAGGTGGCGCTACTTACCACTGTGAGTGGCTTCCTCCTCTCCCCCTTGGGGCGATTTCCGTAACGAACCCCCGCACAAAGGAGATCGACGTGTCGCTCCTTGATTGGCCACTTCGCCCCCGCCGTTATCTTAAAACCAGCGGACAGCAGTCTCGCTTTCTTCTTCCTGGGATTCGGCGGCGGCTACAACGGGGAACCTTCCGGCGCACCGGTGAGCGTTTACCCCGTCCTTTGTACATTTGTGAACGACCGTTCGGCCGTGGGCGATCTCCACACCGACGGCGTTCACCAGCTTATAGCCGCTGTGTTGTTGTTATTTTGTTTCATTGTAAATAAACAGTTTATCACCGTTACCAACGTGACTGGTGTCTGTTTGCGCTCAACGAGCAGCATGCCACGCGAGTACGAACCCGCTTTGCGGTAGAACGTCTCGCCGCGAACGTGGTACTCCCAAAGGCAGTGGCCCCAAGGAGAACCACACGGTGTAATGTGATGTCAGGTCACGTAACGACAGGTCACGTAGCACTGTTGTTACATCGCCTGACACCAAAACTTGACACCGTCAAGTCACGTGACCATGTCATATGATGAATCAGAGCGTGCCAATAAAAAGACTTAATGAAAACTCAATGTTTCTCATGCAACCCTGCATACGACGGTTTGATTGGTAGATCAAAATACAACTGCCAACTTACATTTTTTTGCTACTGGACAGACCCGAAACCATGGGCTAGAGCAAGGGTCCTAAAACTTTCCGATCTTGAAGAACACCTACTGTAAGCAACTTAATTTTAATGAGGGCCTAATTCCCGCAAATATATTATGCCATGGTAACTAATAACTAATGGTAAATAAACCACTCCCAATAGCAAAATTGTGTACACGCGAAATATTCCTGGAAGTCACACTCCATCAAATTCACGAAATATTGAGCCGATGAAAATGAAGTCGTTTACAATTTCTTTTTTTATTGATAGCCAAGGAACTCCTTCTGCTCTTGGCATTGTTGCATTTAAGTAGTTCAGAGGCCTAGAGACTTGGCAAAGTTTAATTATTTGTGCATAATTATGCGTCATTAGAGGGCTTAGACCTACTGAAATAGCAAGTCGGAGCCGTCTAGCCTACCAGTGGAAAACACCTTACACAGGGGAGAAACAGTTGAGGAAATCTGGAAACCCATGAGGGTGCTCTGAAACCCAAGGACTTCTAGGAACTCGCTTTGGTATAGTAGGTAGCCCAAAAGGTGGAGGTGTGCAGTGTCAAGAATTACTGCCACAAAGCAAGACGATTTTAGCGGTCGATCGTTGGGGATTCCTACGGCACACACAACGAACAGCATCAAGCTCTGGCACGAGACGGCAGGTGGCAAAGACAAAGACTCACAGAAGTGGCACGTCTTGCCCGTGTAGCCCGTCCCGTTGCAGTTGCACTTGAACTGGTTGCCCTCAAGGTAGCACTGTCCCCCGTGCTCGCAGGCATTGGGGTTGTTGCACAGGTTGATGAGACGACAGTTGTCCAGGGAGACCTCTCCGTGGGCGTACTCAGTGCCCACCACCTTGCGGGGGTCCACCCACTCCTTTGCCACGTAGATGTCCCGGATGCACCCCACAAAACCTGCATCAAAATGTTTTGCACACCGCGACTCTGTTTTTGCGGCCCCATGTGCGTGGCAACAAACATTTACAGCAGTTGGCCTGGAACCCATCTCTGACTGGCGTGCTTACCACGCGTCCTAAAAAGGGATCTCTCGATTTCTGTCCGACGACGTCATAAAAGTGTCATGCCGTCGCCGACCGCTATCTTGGCGGTAGTCACGGTGGTGGATGAGACCGATGCCTATATTCTGCTATGGGTCACCCTCTAGCTTGATCGTCCACGGAAGCCTCGACAGTCGGGAGTTGGGACACTGTGACGGCAGCATCACACGCATACTTTTTGTCGAGACTTGCACGCCAAACTGCCAGGATCGCGACATTTGATAGCATGACACTCTGGCTTCTGCGACGTAATTTGTTGCCACTTCAGGATCATGTTTGATGTGTGGGTGGGATAGGACGCTAAACACACCAGTCTAAGACACGTTATAGGCACCGCGATCTCATTGGCCTTAACAATGTAAGATATACTGACACATCCCAGAAGTATAAAAAAGTGAACAGTCTAGAAAGCTAGAGAACATTCAAAAACTTTTTTAGAAACGATGGCATCTATTGGCCCTCGAAAGCGTTATTCCCAGACAATTCATTCTTCGTTGCGGTTTCTGAAAAACATATCACCACAGTTTTACCGTACAACTCCAGACTTTTCGAGCGGCTCAACGTTCTTAATGTGCGGCACAAATGTATGCCCACTAAAATTTTGCCAAAATGTGTACTGTAAACGACTTAATTTTTCGCGAGGACCCATGTTTCAGATATTTTTGCAACTCAAAGGATATAGCAAAACACTGACCATGCGAGTATATCACCTTGTGGCAACAAATATGTAGCATATCGCTCCAAAACGTGAAATTTCGGGATCACTGAGCATTCTCAAAATCCACCCTTGCAAGATTTTGCGAAATATTAAGCGTGAAAAAGTAAAGTCGTTTACAGTACTGTGTAATTTCTAACAACCACGACTAAGCCCACTTGCCCAATGTGCAAAAAAAAAAAAAAATGCTTACTTTCATGTAACAAAGCGAATGTGAAGCTCACCCATGACATGCTCCTTGGGAAACCCACCAATCACCAGGGGTCCCACCAGCTCGACTGGACGATTGTAAGTGTCCCTTAACTTGCGGTTAAAGTCGATTGTGAGCTCCACCACCCTGAAAAGATTGACTCTACTTAAAATGATTCAAGACAGTAGGTGCTATAGTCAGTGGCAGGTTAAGAGTTTGGGGGAAACTCCTCCTACCCCTTTCCACTTTAGATGAGTGACCTCTGGAGAGTGACCACTGGAGTGACCTCTGGAGAAGAAGTGACCTAATCTCCAGCATTCACTCTGCTAAAGTGAAAAGAGGTGGGAGGAGCTTCCCCTGAACTCTTAGCCCGTCACTGATTATAGTTAAGAAGTGAAAACGGTATGCGAGAAACTGGTAGGTAGACAGTAACTAACTACGGCAGGCATTGCATGTATTATGTGTAATGACAACCGAATCGCAGACTCAGCGTGACTACTTTTAAAGAGAAACTATGGCTTACAAGTGTATGTATTACCAGGGTTCTACTGTACAGGAATTTTGCATTTGGTTGAGAGAACTCTGTTATGCTTCAGTGAAAAACACGCATTTGTAATTATTAAAATTATCAGAAGAGCATGTTTTTTGATAATTACGATAATAAAAGAAAGAAAATTTTCTGATGATTAAACAATCAGAAAAACAAAAATTTCTAATTACTGATGTTTACAAAAAGAAAAAGATTGGTCGGTGAATAGGTTTACTATGCTGCATAAATTCCCGTGGAACTTTTGCCGCAGCGAAGAAACGTCTACGGGCTCCTGCCTCATGACAACGTCGGGTGCACAAGAAGCAAATGCCCATGGCTCAGAGTCCAGCAGAGGCCAATGTGCAGCCCCCTGCACCGTCATCTCCAAAGTGCATATCTGGAATTGCGTGCGATTGCTTTTAACACTTCCCCAAGTTGCGTGAGAGAGTCGTGTGAACTGCCCGTGCCCCAGAGCACGCGAGCTTGGCCGCTGTCCAGAGCGATAAGCGAAGATTGTGGAATTACGGCGGTTGGAGCGTCGCATTGAAGCGAGCAAACGAGCAGGCCAGCAGATAAGAAAGAATGCGCGTGCACACTGTGTGGCTCTCAACACCATCTGTGTGACATCCCTTCCATGACCAAGTCTTCGTGACAGCGACCTCTTAACTTTGCACCCTCTTCCAAGCGCAAAAAAAACATAATTCTACGTTAAAAAAAAGGATTTTTAATGGTTAAGGAAACATAATTCTGATCATTCCAGTTCATATAAAAGAAATTCAAAATATTAAAATTAATAAGAAATTAATAAAATATCAACCTTATTCTGATGATTAAGATTAGCTGGAATATCTGGCAGGTTCTTTTGTGACAGTTATCCATTGAGACAATATGCTAATAGCCGCGTCCCACTAGAGCAACAGACAGCAACAAACGACAGCGACACACGACAACGAGCGACAGACGACACCGACAAACAGCCTGTTTGTCGGAATCCGCCGTCCCACTTGGCGGACACGACACAGAACACGGGGACAAGAAAACTTGTTTCCTAGTGGGACTGGAGTTGTCAACAAAACACTTCAAAATACACAGACAAACTGAGTCTGGCGACACGGTTTTCGTGTTTTGCTCTTTGGGCATAAAACGTGCCGACAGACACGGTGAAAGTGGAGACGATTACTTTATTTCTTCATTAAAGCTTCCGCTTCTCTTCATTTGCCGTTGGCGACTTTCTGTAAACAGTCGTGACAATCGACGCCAAACTTTTTCCGAACTAGAATACACAAATCGTTCCTTTTTTTGGGTTGCTCGAGGAATTCTAGGTGAGCGCCACGGAATTCCACGCCTTTTTTGAGGTTGTTTATAACCTCATATCCGAATGATCGAGGGCAGGCGTTTTTTGGAGGACAGTACGGCATCCCGATTATCACAGAACGCGACGACAAGTCTCTCGTCTGCCGGAATGGCTTGCCTCGGAATGTTGTGTCCTACTTCGTGGTGAGCGGTCTTACTTTGGTCAGTTCTCGAACATGAGTGTATCCATCCTGATGCAGGGGCGTAGACCTCGGCGTCTTGAAGCACCATCTCGCGCACCAAGTTTTCGCGAGCAAAACCAGCCACAGCAAATTCCCTTTCGCAACACGACCGTCCGGCGCCAGCAAGCAAGCCGCGCCCGCGACCACTACGTGCAATCGAGGGACCGGAACTGCGGGGCCGGGAACGAGGAGTGGCCGCCAAGGGCTTTTCGTTCCGGGAGGAAGGGTAGAAGGGTGGGAGGGGAGGCAACAGAAGGCACAAGCGGGCGAGGAGGATAAGTTTGTCTCCGAGACATGTTCCTCAGTGGGACTGCTTGCTGCGCTTCTAGTCCAACGACAGACAAGAACTCGTCCGTCGTCGAACGTTTGTCGGCGCGTGTCGGCGATTGTCGTGGGTGTCGGTCGTTGCAGTGGGACAGCATCGGCGACACGGAACTTTGTGGTGTTGTCGGACAAAAATTGGTGTTTGTCGTTCTAGTGGGACGAGGCTATAAAGCAACTCCATTCTAACTCAATGCATGATCCAATTCATCCCAATCAGACCTGTCTTACTCATTTTCAAAGACGACTCCAACTTGGTGCCACTGCCCGTCAGTGAGTTGCTTCCCTTTACTCAGGAACCAATAGTGCGACGGATTCGTTTCGTCCGGGACAATAGTGAAGATGGCCGTTCCTTTCTTGAGGCGAATCTAGAATCAAAAGGGAATATCAATTATCCATCAAGTTATCCCTTCACCATGTTCTTGTCCCTCTTACCCAGGCCACAGTTTAATAAAAGTTGTTAAATTTAGGGCACATCTGATGAGTTTCCGTGACTAAGATCAAGACCATGGTACAATATCGAGTTGGAGCTTTGCCAACTGCATATGGCTTAGTGAAGCAAAAGTAATTTAGCACATCAGAGTAGTAAGCAAGTAATGCGATATTTGCTGAAAATGGTGAAAACTATAGCAGTAAAATATTTCCTTTTTCCAATGACAGAGTGTATCGTATCAGGGGTGCTCAACCGCAGCAGCCGAATCCAGCTCAGAATTGGATGTACAAACACAGTCATCACTCGAACTACGCTCCGTAACTATCAGATCAGTCCACTCAGCAAATATCTGGCTTCACATTCATAAAAAAATTAGAGCAGCTACAGAAATTAAGACCATAAGAACGCCAGCACTGCACATGCTATAAGCAACACAAATCGAAATGCGTAACTATAATGAACATTGGCAACACAAGCCATGAACCATAAGAGCAAGTACTTAAGGGGCAGTATATGACACAACAGATGTGACTGCCCATTTTGTTCTTGGGTCAAGAAAGAAAGCAGACTCAGATTTTTATTATTTTTTAGTGTTGTGCCAATTTTGGATTTTGAGTTTGAAGCAAATTCGAAGCGAATGGTGGTTTTGGCCAAATATTTTTAAACTGAATACTGGATAGTTTCTCTAGGCCTTTCTCTACCATGCATCATGCTTAAACGAAAATTCAGCTGAACTTGTGAAGGTTGTTCCCAGCCTTCTAGTTGTCCACTTCTAAGCTCGGTTCATTTTAATGTACCGTAAAATCCCGAGAGATGCCCCACCCCCGAAAGGTAACCCACCCCTGTGTTTGGCTTGATTTGCTATTTCTTTTTAAACACCAAAAGATAGCCCACTCCTACTAATTGTAGTGTTCGCATCAATGATGACCTTCGCGTAAATGCGTCTAGTTAGTTATGGCGGGATATAAGCGAAAACTGCTGACTGGGCAGATGTCATCTTTGCTTCATTTCCTCTCGCTGCGATGAAAAGTTTCACAGAAACACATAATCTAAAAATAGCATTTTTTTAACTTTTCTCGTTTGCACATTGAAAGTTAGCCCACTCCTTATTTTCACCCAATTTTCAATTGATTTTAGGTGGGCTATCTCTCGGGGTTTTATGGTAAATATATTTATGAACTGTGGCATGTAAACAACAAAATTGTTGCAGCTATCCTAATCGAGAAAATTTATAAATCTGCTCGCTATATGCAAATATTTTTTTCTTCAAGTGTACTATGTACTATGGTAGGAATGAAGTAATGGCCGGCCGCAAGTCGGCAAGCCAGAGTGGAAAGGCTCGAGAGGTTGCCGTAAACACTGAGCGACTGTGGCAACCAGACAACTGGCAAGCCAGTTGTCTGGTTGCTGCCATCGCTCATAGATGGCGGTAGCTGTCCAGAGTTTGGTGTCATCATTTGTTTGCTGACGGATACATATGATACTGGGGAAACTAGCCCTTAACAGCTTTGCTGTAAAACAAAACAAGCACAAATGATGAGCTCAACTTGTCAAGACATCGCTGCCTTGCCTAACACATACTCTGGCATAATCACGGCAGGGTTAGTCCCGTTAAGTGTGCTTCTTACCGAGCAGTCATGCATTGCGGGGAAGCAATACCCACCGAGCCCGCAAGCTCTGCGTATTGCTTCCCTGCAGCGCAGAGGCGCTCGGCAAGAAGCACACTCAACAGGGCGAACTCGCTGCGATCAACATATCAAAAAAAAGAAATATTGCAGTTCATCTCGGAGTGAATATCGAATAGCGTATTATCCTAAACTACTATTCACAAATTCGAATATTTGCACAACACTGTTATTTTTTCTTTAAAAGTCGATGCATTGAAAAACTAACGAATTCCTGTCCTGCATTTCATGAAAGTTACAAGTTTTAAAAGAAGGTGGAATATCCTTTTGCAGTTCTTAAAATACACACTGGCTCTATAACAAATCAAGAAACTACTGAGTGAAAGTTTGAAACTCCATCTAATGGTTCTTTTAAGAACACATTTACTTTATGGAGAGTCAAGAATGCATCACCCTATCACTGAATCTCCTCCCGCCAGTTAGCGCAACCCACCCAAAATCTGAAATCCAATTCACTTTCAGCAGCACTCACCTCCCAGAATCCCTGTCCCTTGTCGGACCGGAGGAGGCTCGAAGCAATGACAGTCTCGTTCTGGTGCGTCTTGAAGTCGACCGAGATGTCGAGCCTCCGCGCGCTCGGCAGGTTGAGTTTGAGCCGAGACTCGGCAAACGGGAATGTGAGCGGGATTGTGTCCACAAGCGCACACCCATACTCGACGGGAAAGATCCCAATGTGGCGCGCATTGGGCTCCCCTTTCCTCAGCGACTGGAGGCAGTTGTCCCGGTTGAAGTAGACTTCGCGGATGCAGCCCACCAGCTTCAGGTCCGTCACCAGGCCCGGGAAGACGGCCGTACCATCTGCACCAGTTATGAGAGTTGCAATTGGTTGCGGATGGAAAAGAGCCAGTACAGAAATTTTACGGCCTACACCAATAAACTGCTTGTGTACCATTTAAATATTTGCGCAAGAGTTAACCTGAAATGAAATGCAACTCATGCCACCTCCCTCCCTCCCAGGCGACTGGTGGTTACTGAAAAAGCGATCACCGGCTGCCTAGAGAGCGTCAGTGCATTCCATTTCAGGCGGAAGTCAGTTTATTTTTGTGCATTTACCCTCCACCTGGGAGAGTTCCCCCAAAAATTATTATATCTAATCATGTAAGTATGTTTTTTTTTTCTAACTAATGTGTGTAAAGTGGAAATCAATGCATCTTCTCAGAGCAGCGGTTCTGAAACTGTGGTCTGCAGACCCCTAGGGGTTTCCGAGAGATTTATGCCAATCCGTGCCAAGTAAAAAAAAACGAAAAAAAAACAAAAAAAGCTTTCCTATGCAGTTTTCCAGAAGATCTCTGATGCAGGATGTATTGAAGATGCTCAGACGGCCTCGTCATGCATTTGCATGTGGACATCATTTCTTCTTATCCATACTTTTTAAGAATTACAAATTCACATGTTCACAGAATATATTTTTGATAAGTGCCGAGCTGCAGAGCATTGGGAGTTTAACAGAGGTAAAATATGATAAATGCAGAATCTGTGGTAAAAATAAGAACAACCTCTGAATTTGACCAGAAATAACATGTTCAGTGCAACCCCCAGATAACAGCTGCACTTATAACATACTACTGTTAAAACAAAGACATCTAGAGGAACTAGGTACAAAATAAAATAGCATAAAAGAGACAGACAAGAGAGTAGACAGGACAGGTACTAACTTTCAATCAGTGTTAAAACTACAAAAAATTTAGTGCCCGTCCCATCTACCATAATATGCAAGGGATGTACCATCCCCGAAAGATAATCCACCCATATTTCTGGCACGATTTGCTTTTTTTTTTTTTTTTAAACTTCGAAAGATAGGTAGTTTCAAGTAATTGCAGGCCCTAGCCAATAGTGACCTTGGCAGAAATGGTGTTATTTAGCCCAAGCGGGAGATAAGTGAACATCGCTGACTGGGAACGGCAGTCGAATTTAGTTCGCTCCTCCTTGCGATCACAAGTTTTGCAGGTCACAAAATCTAAAACAAGCACTCTTTCAAACTTTATTTTTTTAAAGGACACGGAAGGACAGCATAGTACTTATTTTCCCCACAATTTGCTTTCGACTGCGAGCTATCTCTCAGGATATTACGGTCCTCTCTTGTCCTTGTCCCGTGCTTTTTTGTTTTGTACCTAAATATGAACCACCTAGCAGAGCAACACAGTTTACTAGAGGGGGTAGTTGAGAAAAGCAGCAAGTGCACAGATATGTCAGCATTCTTATAAACAATTTCTTGTTAAAACAGGTACATCTTTTGAACAGCCGAAGAGTCGGATGCAAGCGTGCTTGGATGATTACCTCTGCTGGTGAGTGGAACACCGCCGATGTAGAGGTCTGGATCCAGGTGCAAGTGGTGGTTGGTGTCGGTCAGACGGATGGAGTGTGACAACTTATCTAGGTACAGGCTGACCTGGTTGGCATTGTGGATCATGGTGAAATTATGCCACCTGGAACGATACATGGTGTCCAGAAGTTAGATTACATTACGCGTGATGTTTGCCTTTCCAATTACTCGACTGCCACCTCAATTTCTGAGAAATTTGTTATGAAGAATTTGCGGCCGGCTTTTAGACACAATAGAGATATAACTCCCTCTTCTGTGCCAGGTGGCACACTGACTCCATCAAACAATTATGAGACCTAAAGGCTCCTTAACCAGGCAAGTGCAAGTGGTGAATTCTAAATTTGATGCAAATTCAAATCGTGGTCTTGACCGAATAATTTTTAATCGCCTATCGAATTGTTTCTCCAAGCCTTTGACTATCGTGCACCGTGCTCAAACAGAAATTCAGCTGAACTCGTGAAGGCTGTTCCCAACGTTCCACTTGTACACTTCCAAGCTTACTTAATTTAAGTATAACCACCATAAAATACCGGGCAAGCACCCACTCAAAATTTAGAGATAATCGCGAAAAAAATGGGGGATGAGCGCTTGTCCAGCCATCAATTTTACATATAAATGTACTGTGCATATTTTCTCAGATCTTACAAATTTGGGAATGGGCGCTTAATGTGTAATGGGCGGATGCGTGGTATTCTATGGTATTTACATATTCAGGAACTGTGGCATGTGTCGCAGCTATACTAATTGAGGGGATTTATAATCTGCTTACTATATATGCAAATACCTTTTCTTCAATATAAAATTCGACAAAACAGCGATGTCTTGACACAGGTTGTCAAGACATCGCTGTTTAACATATAACACTCGCATAATCATGATGGGTTAGCCCCGTTGAGTGCGCTTCTCACCGAGTACCCATGCACCGAGGGAAAGTAGCACCTGCAGAGCCCGTGAGCTTCACGGGCATTGCTTCCCCGCACTGCACAGCTGCTCAATGAGAAGCAGACTCAATGGGGCTAAGCTAACCCACTGCAATCAAAACTTTGAAAAGTATGAATATCGCAGTTCGTATCAAAGTGAATATCGAATAGCATATTATTCAATACTATTCAAAAATTTGAATATTCGCACAACCCACATTTGCGTCTGCGCGCAATCAGACACTGGCGCCATCTTTCAGGAAGCCCTGGAATCCTTTCAATTTGCGTATAACTAAGCTCAAGGATTTGCAGCATACGTGAGATCAGAGCTATACACTATCTATGATAAATAGATAACATTGTCAGAACTATTTCGAGCCTACGGCAAAAGTATGATTCAAAACATATGTGCGATTCGAAGTGTACCTACCAGGGCTACAACTCATTCGATTACGCTAAAGTATAAATGCATAAACCGTCTTTTATGACAAACTAGAGTGTAATCTCACTTTCGGGCCAAAATCTGCAGCTTACATCTGGTCGTGAAGGTTGGCCCCCATGGTGACGTTGAAAGGACCGTCTCCAAAGTCGAGATGGAAGAAGAGCATGCCTCCCTTAACGCTGGCAGCAACTTCATTCTTAGGGTCGTGTTCCCCAGTCACCGTGAACAGCACAGCCTCAGGAACGTACAGCTAGAACAAAGCAGGCAGAAAAGAACAAAAAAAAGAAAAAGAAATAGCTTATGATTGAGGTTTTGTGTTTTGGGGGTTTATTTACCTTCGAATTTGCCGTTTTTTGGGGGATTTCTTTCTTTCCACAAATTCTGTGTTTTTGGTGTCGAGTTTCAGTGTCGGACAAACAATCCGAGTTTATCAGCGTTTACGTTACAAAAACAGGATACGGGCATAATGTCAGCCAACTTCTAGAGAATGTATGTGCGACCTAGTCGGAAAACCTCCCATACCATTAAGCAAAAGAAATTAGATAAAAAGTTGGGTTCCCAAACAAACAAGCAGCCTCACAGACAGTTCAGTGCAGACTGTACTTTGGGTCAACACCAAATGAAGCTGTGGTTAAATATCTATTCTCGTGAAACTTGCACTTTTCTTATTCAAGGGAAGCTCCAATTCAGAGTTTTTCAGTTTTCCCGATGTAAATAAAATTGATTTGTTGCTTCACTTTTGGAGTTTATCGGTAATTGTCGAAAACATAAAATACAGAATATCTCTAGATGGCCCAAATTAATCCTCTGTCCTTCGCCAGGGCGTGCCAGATGCCCTTTGTCAATTCAAATAACTAAACTTAGATCTTTTAGCCAAACTCTAACAATCATTTAAAACTAGGTAAAATAAAATGATTCCATTTTCTTCGATGTTGATTACCACTAGTTCAGAGAACAAAGAAAGTTCTACTCACCCTGAACACGATGCCTATCCTATTGGAATCGGAGTGAACCCTGTCTTTCCAGTCGTAGATGCGATACGTAATGTAGGAGTTCCCACGCAATGTGACGGTCGTCAGGTCTGTGGGTCAAAATATTTCAGCATTGAGTGGTACGGAGATACCCCTATGCACAAGTGAAAGGACAAGATATATTGCCACATCTAACTGTTGCTTAACGTTAACATAACATAATAAGCTTCCCTTCCTTATAGATATGCTGGGACCACGAATAACAATGGTTATGAAAATATTCTTTAAGTCAATTTTAAAAGTACTAAAAGCAAAACTGACTTTTTTTAGGTTTGCGGTTCTGTCTCGTCGAGAAACAGTGGCAGAAGAAACCGCGCAAGAATTAGAACACGAACTGATAAAAATTTTATGGCAACTTGCTAGGCAATTATGTTGGATACGTGAAACTTTCTTGCATCACAAACGTTTAGCGATACTCTTGAGTTTCCAGATGCCAGACTCCTATGTTCAAGGCGCTCTTCAACAGATAGTTTAATGCATACCATGTGTACCCTCAATAGTTGTTCTTAAGATGATGTGATACTACCTCTAATCGGGCTGACAGACCTGGCGATCTTAAGAGCCTTCCATACTCTCGAGCCCCTCTTCCCCTGTACGCACATGTGGTCGAGCTCCTCTGGTCACATGACCTACCCGTTAACCAATCGGCGTCGAGCACCTTACTCCTCCTCTCCCACTTGATAAAAATCATAATCGGTGTCGATGCCTCACGGCCACGCTTTTATCTGGCATTCACTTTTATCTCGGATTCACGAAATGCCAAGCACCTACCCAAAGAATGTTTCCCGTTAGAACGTGCGACAGGGTGTCAAGTTGCTATCCGCCAGGCACAGAGCAGATGCCACGGAGGGCCTTTTCGCCAAATGGTACCTCAACTCACGGCTATGTGTCGCGAGATGCTGGAAAGGCACTAGCTTAATAATCATACTGTCCCCTACACTCAGGCAGTCTTGTGCACATCGCTCGAAAAAAGTAATCAATTACAATTACAATTACTCTTGCTTAAAAAGTATTCAATTAGCTTACCCAATTACTTGAAAAGAAAAGTAATTGGCCATTACTCGAAAAAGTGACCATTACTGCCTTGATCACTTCAGATTTTCGAAATGACAGAGGTTTCAGCCTGTATGAAAACTGGTCTTTTGTACCGTCCACCAATGGACTAGAATTACCGATTTACGACCTGTATATCTTCCTGATCAACCAATTTTTGTAAACCGTCCTCCTGTCGGGGACTCAGTTTGAGGATTCCTCGGCAAGAAACTTGTACGTAAAAAGGGCCCCGTTAGAGAGGGGAGGGAAGAAATGGTAATGGCTACATGGAATTTTACAACTTCCAACAGTAACTACCGCGATTATGTACTTCCTAATAAACAGAGTCAAATGATCACCAAAATGACTCGAAAAAGCAATCGATTACGGGTAAGTTCAGGGCTCAGTCTGCACTCAGAGCAGCGTTTTTTCCTACACCCTCCCCTCCGAGAAAAAAGGCTCCCCGGTGAAGAGCTAACCACGAGCCAAAAAGAAGTAACAACAATGGCTCCTCACTGTCGTATCCGCACATGTGGTCCTCGTAGCGCGTTCCGAAGCAGTCGCAGCCGTAGTAGCTGTAATGGTTCACGCAGCGTCCCCCGTTGAGGCAGTAGTCATACTTGGAGCACAGGTCCACACACCCATCGATCACGTCTTCCCTGGCCACAAGCGACGCTTCCACAGGCGCACCGTCACCCAGATGGAAGGATATCTTGCCCAGGCAGCCAAAGAAGCTGTCCGTGTTGTAGTGCAGGTCGACAGACGAGTTGCGCGGGTCAATCGCTGTGGGGATTGATGAAATGAAAATTGTGAGATGAAAATGGGCCACAACCAAAAGACTGCACCCCTAAAGAGAGAGTGCAAGGTATCGAGTATATGATTCCCTGCGTGAAATGTTTGGCTACATACATCGGCGAAACCAAGAACTTTTGGGAGAGGATCCGCCAGCATCAAAACAATGTTTGCAATTTCGATCACGAGCACAGCGTGGCGGGCACTGCATTGACTTCAAGAACACCCACGTCCACAACATGACAACTAACCACCGACAAACACTTTTCTTGAGATCGACGAACATTCAAACTAAGCCAGAAAACGCCAATAGGTCGCTTGGTGCTTTGCCACCTGCCTGTGTCAACAGGTTGTGCGATATCACTGATGCAAAGAGAAATGTACCACCACAAAAAAAGTACAAAATAAAATTTAAAAAATACTGATTTTCCACAGCCATCACTACAGTCACCCCTGAAAAGGAGGCCTTATACGCCTCAAAACATTAAGCCCCTAGTTAGGGCTTGGTTGGACGTCCCCCTTTATAATTAGTCGTGCCCTAACCAGAGATATCACTGTCAAACGGTCGCAATCAGGTGAATAAGCTTGGATGACACTATCAGTCATGGAAGTGCCATTTGACCTTTTGGAGCAGGCGTTGTAGCAGGCAAAATGTTGTTTTTGAGCAGGTAGTGGCCCTTTTGGAGCAGGGTCCGGCATATCTTGGCATATTACTTGAAAATGAAATAATGCTGCATTGCTACATAAAGCCCATCTCTATTATTGGAACACAGCGCCTGTCGCCTTTTTAAGAGAGGATATATAATATTAAACAAAGTACGCACAAAAAGACATTTCTTAAATAAAGTTTATCTGCTCGCCAGATAAAAAATAAAATACAATTAAACATGTCACACTGTGTTCTGATGGTACAGGACATTTAGTTTTATCAGCCTGCACTTCTAAGGTATCTGCAGCAGCATCTAACGACCCTCACTGTTGTGGAATGTTTTAGTTCAGATTAGAGTTGTCTTTCGGGCAGCCGCTTCAAATATTGCGGTATCTAATATTCGCTTCAGAGATTCCGATTAATTTTCGATGTGCTGGCGAAATCACGATCGGATCACGGCGAGTTAACCCGTTGAGTGCGCTCCTTGGCATGTGCCGACGCGCTGCAGAGAAGCGAAACCCGCAAAGCAGACACCGCAGTCGTGCGAGTCGCGCAGTGCTTTGTGCTCCGAAAAGGACGGTGAGGCTTTGCCAGCAGTACATCCAGAGTTTGGTGCAGCTCAACTATACTTCGTTTCAGCTTCGGTGCGAACGCAGCCGAAGCTGCAAGCGCGCGCATGGAGCCCGTAACGGTGCCCACACTGCACGAGCCCAAGCGCGAGTCAGGAATGCACAGAGCATTGGGCTCGCGCTAGCTTTGACTTCGCTGGTAGCTAGTGGACGGGAACAGGACGGGCCAACACTGAAAACATCCACAAGCTCGGCCTTTTTTTTTTAAATAGGCTGCTCAGTGGGACGGTTCTTCTAGGTTCTTCGCTTAGCCTCTGCGGCTTTGGTCTCAGATGCTGCTAACGTTGTTCCTTTCAGTGATGGTGATGATAATGCGTTCTCGCAGTTTCGGTTTGCGTAACAGTTGCGGCGCGGAAAATACCTCGGTACCGCCACGCGCTCTGATAAGACTTCAATTTTTATTTTTTATTGCTTCATCTCATCTCGGCGCAGGCATGGCGCAATTCTTCGGTAAATTCACAATTTGGCGCTACATGTAGCAGGATTGCGTCCTTGGCGCAATTTGGCGCAATTGGCGCAGCACTTCCATCACTGCACTATTACCACCTAAAGGATCCCCTTTCCCAATACCCTAAAATGGTGAGCAAGTGTCCACCAAATATTTGGAGACAATATTGAAAAATGGGGGGGGATGAATACTTGCTAGGTCCAAGATAAAAAGTGCAGAAAGGGCACATGATAGAGTGGGCTTCCTTGCATTTGCATCGGGGTACCGTATTTTCCAGACTATAGTCCGCATCCAGTGCATAGTCCTCCGGGGCCAATTAGGGTTCAAAAATACAAGTTCTTAGATAGTTCACACCCGGTGCATAGTCCACACTTAGTGCCTAGTACGAACAAAAAAATTATAGTACATGCACACCTTAAAAAATGCCTGCTGTATTAGCTCACAAAGAAGCATGTATCATACATAAATCAATGTTTTAATATTCTGTTATTCATAAAATCCTTCACGTCTTGTAATAGTGAATGATCTAGAAAAAACAAATCCTTGTATTGTCCGCACCTGTAGATGGTCTTGCATCACATAGAATTTCAGTTTTAAAACATGTATAGCCTGTGGACTATAGCCCAGAAAATACAGTACTTGGAGAAGTAGCTGACAAGGAGGAGCATCTTGGTTAGCTAGGCGGGCTCAGATGCATGGTGTGGGCACTTGAAATGTTCTTTGCTTAAATTTTAAACATTTCAAAAGTAGCAGATGGGTGCCAATTGTGACATGAGCGTAAGCTTGTATTTTATGCGAGTCCCTCGTACGGGTAACAAAGTGGATCCATGGGAATTGTAACTATGATGCACTAGCCCCTTTGGGCACATAGTATATCTAAGAATTTAGACGGCTAATCGTTATAAGTTTATTAGTAAACAAGTGACAAGATATACCCAATTCAAAGTCTTTTCTTGTTGAATGGATTATCAGCTCAATAATAATGAGAATGACCTAATAGTAATGTTATTCCCTATGACCTAATGACCTAACAGTTATGACCTAATAGTAATGTAACACTTTGAGATAAAGAGAATGCCCCAATAGTAATATATTTGCTAACATCTTCCACAACTGCCAAAGACAACCTATTTTTGGCATGCAATGAAGCACAGACAAGAATATAAATTAACAAAATAAAAACTAGGAGACATCAGCATACAATAAATTCAAAACAGAAATAAATATACATTAATAAACAACCACTCTCCCAATGCAGTATATTTATGAACATAATAAAAATCATGTAATATGATAATAATGAAAAGGCAAGTTAGATTACGATGGTTGTCGTGCCCATCAATTGTAATAGGTCCCCTCCTGTTCATCTCGATCTGAATGAGCATTGAACAAGTGTGCGGTCATGCATGATCACTGCGTACAAAGATCCAAGGTTGGCAGTCCAACTGCACTGGCCAAATCGCTCATCCACAGTGAAGACACTAGAGGACATTACAAGGCAGATAGAATTTCCACTGTTTAAACCTTTATACAACAGATCTGGTTTTTGCACACAAGAAGGATCACCCCTATAGTGGTTAACTGTTTTGTCTCGAGAAAATAAGCTAAAACAGAAAAGATAGCAGCCTATATGTAGTATTATGATTCGCCCTAATAATAATGAAGCAATTGCTACAGATGAAAGCTTATTCCTTAGACATGCACTTAGAATACACAGATCCTCATGCTAAGAGCTCACAAACATGGCATTTTTACTTCGTCAGCATTGCATGGTGGAGCAAAGCACACACTGCATGCTCCAGCATAGAACAAAATCCAAAGAAAAAAAAAAGATGTCTCACATCCAATGTACAAGTGTGAAGGCGTATCCTCTGTTCCAATGTCGTAGCCTCCTCGATGCATCAGTGACGACAGGATGATAGTGAGATCTTCATGGTCAACACGAATTCTCATTTCCCCTTTTGAAGGCACCACCCGCAGGTTCACAGTGTGCCACCTGTCCTGGTTCAGACCTAGGATGAAGGGTAATGCAAATGGTGGATTTAACTGTGATAATTGATTGTGTAAAAACCCTAATGGCTAAGCAGCTAAAGTAGAGTCACTAAGTGTCTCATAAACAAATAGTGAACATAAGTGACAGGAGAGAAGGACTTATGAAGCAAATACAGTAAGGGCTGAATCACGGACATGCGACTGCCCATGCCTGTAGAGGCTAAAAACCAGTATAGATTAAACGAGTAAAAGAAATAGATTTCCCTAACAATTTTGCACTCGAAGTGTGCGCACATCACAAATTTTCAACCACAGTGCATTAAAATTTTGGTGCATCACTTCTCCAATACACAAATATAGAAAATCAAAGAGTGCTAAATGATGACTATAGCTAGAGTAAAGAACATCATAAGCTTAAACTAACAAAGGAGGTACAAATCTGAAGTGTCCAATGCAAATTGAGTCACCAACCAAAACTTCAATGAATTTCTGTTTTTCTAGATTATTTGATGAATTTATTAATGTTGTTTGAAGATTAGAAAGTTCGAATAGCAGTTTTGAATAACATATTATTCAATATTTGTTACGAGGTGAACTGCAATATCCTTCGTTTTCGAAGTTTTGATCGCGGCGGCTTAGCCCCATTGAGCGCGCTTCCTTCCGAGTACGGGTGCATTGCAAAGAAGCAGCACCCGTGGAAGCGAGCTCCGCAGGTGTTGCTTCTCCGCAGTGCACCTGTGTTCGGTAAGAAGCACAGTAAACGGGGTAACCCACCACGATCAACACTTGGAAGAGTACGAATATCGCCACTGGGTGCTTGGGTAGAAGCACATTTTCAAAGGGGGATGCTGCACATGCGCACCTGGTGTATTCAAAAAGAAACGAAAGAACTTTGCGAATGTTGATATCCACATCGTAGCAAAATTTTCAAAATTAAACTGTGTAGGAAGAGATGCCCTGACAACCTGCAATCATCATTCGCGATTCTTTTCTTTTTTTTTTAAAGTCGAGATTTAAGAAAAGATTTTTGCATATAGCAAGCTTTGTAAATCCATTCATTTAGGTATAGCTGGGCACCTATATAAGTTTAATTTTACGTCAAATCCATGGCTGCCGAGCGCACGTGAACGGCGAGCCTCCACAGCGCTTTTGCACAGCGTACATTCCACACCATCAGGATCGCCATTCCTAGCAGACGATGGACCCCTGGTAGCACAGGGCTCTGCAAACATCTCGAGATGTCCTAACGTTGTACGGACGATGCATGGATGTGCACAAGATATCTGTGTTGCCCGAACATGTGCTGAGCATGCGCTGTGAACGGGGCAGTCAAACATGATGGTGTCCAGTGCGTACCCCTGGTAACAAAGAATTTTTCAACAAGGTGCACTTGGTGATCGGTGGCCGAATGCGACACTGCAACTCAGACAACGCGGAGCACAATCTTACACTGCAGATCTCAGGCGTCCTGGGCACTGCAGCACATTTCGATCTGGATGAGTATCGTACCGCCATGCAGTCGTGTGTATCACTGCTGCATGATGCACGTTAATTAAAGACCATAGGAGAGCATAGTACTGCATCGCCTAAATTTTTCGTCTGCAGCGGGGACACCAAATGCCCATTGGGGCTGGCTGACTTCGCTGTGGCTAAACAGGCACACAACACAATTGAGTGTGTTCACCTTTTCCCATGTAGAAGACCTCATTGCCTTCCGTGTTGAAGATGTGGATGATCTTGAGCCTCCCATTTTCGAGCATCACGTACAGCTCGTAATTTGGCACCCTGTCTTCTTCGGAAGACTCCTCGAGCAAGTGGTAGAAAAGCAATCCATGTGGCTTTTCTGTCCTGCAAAAACAAGGGTATGGTCGAAGTAACTTGTAATGGCCGTATTTGCCAGGCAACACATAACATTGAGGAAACATCCAAAACATGCATTGCACATGTCTCAAAACATTTCTCATATGTGTGCTACATATGCAATGCATGTTTTCTATGTTACCTCAATGTTATGTGTTGCCGGGCAAGTAACTAGGGCTATTTCTTTTAAGTCTGGCAGTATTACCCTATGTCGGGACAAAATCTAGTTATCTTAAACTACTGTTATTACATTTAGGTCATACACTTGAAATTAGTGGGGAAAAAAACAGGAATCTCATCAAGCAATACGATGTGACAAGAGGGACTCCAGTTGAGGCTGAGTTACGTAAAATTATCAATAAATGGGACAGTACATGTATTCGAAGAAATATTAAAACAAAACCTTCACCATGCAACAAACATAAAAAGCTTCCTTTTTTGTATTAGGTTTGGTAGGTATGTTGGTTCTTGCACCAACAAGCTTCTAAAATAACTCAAAGTTGAAAAAAAAACACTGGCAAAAGTGCTTACCCAGTCGTCACAAGAAGTTCAAGTGGTTGTAATTAGACCAGTCAGTAAATTCTGGTGACAACTGGCAACACTGATTCTATGCAATGATATGACCTCGGTAATATTACTCTAAACTTTGCTTATTTGGTAGCCTGACACATTCCCCTCCCGCAAGACAGGCTTCAAAACACAGCCCCACTCACTTGAACTGGAAGCTGACTTCTCTGGCATGCTGCAGAGGCCAGTACTTTGGCTCCACCCTCAAGAAGGATGACTCCTTAAGGAAAGTGAACACTTGACTAGATGACAGCTTGTATCCACCGGCACGGTTCGTGCTGCTGTCCCCGCCGGTGCCACTGCTTTGGCTAGGTTGCATGGTGACGACATCACCGGCGTCCGACTGCGCTCGCGCACCAAACTCCACGACACCAACCAGATGGAGTAGGCTGCACACCGCCGAAAAAGTCCAGAACCCCCTTTGGCACACCATGGCGGCGATAGAACCCTGACGGCACCACCCTGCCGCTCCTGAAGAAAGAGTTCAAGAACGACGAGTAGAAAAAAATAGCCTGGCTTAGACACTATGCCAAATGCAATGAGGGGTTCTTTTTACCAGAAACGAAGGTCCTTCTAACTGCAAAAATTAAATTGTAGGCATCGCTAAATGCTCAGCCCCTGTCCAAATGTAGCGCTATAGAGGTTACACGACCAAGTGACGGAGTGGCGGAACTTATCTTTATTCAATTTAAAAGTTGTACAGGCAGTTCACGGAAATATTCAACGAGGAAATGGAACCTGTTTCTGGAAGAATATGTGACTCGTCTCCATGTATCTGTGGGCTCTTTGGCCGCCATTTCCTCAATGAGGATTTCTGAAAATCGCTAATAACTTTTAAACGAAGATGGCAGTAAGTCCTGAAACCCGGGAACCTGTTCCCAACTACTAGTGCTACATTTGTACAGAGAAAAAACAATGCATAGTTTGTTTTTGCAGTAAGAAAAGCATGTTTCTCTTTTCTCCTTAACACTTGTTATAATTTTTTTTTGCCGTATCTCAAAGGTATAATACCTATGTAGAAAGAGTTGCATATGTGCCTATTCTAAAGTTGTTATTTATTTGCTGTCTAACATAAAATCAAGATTTTTTTTTGTGGAGGACACTTTTTTTAATGAGTCATTTTTTCTATTTAAAGGCAATGGGATGCTCCAGGAAAGTTATCTAGAATTAATGAACTGCTTTGCCAACAATCTAATCTATATCAAAATTTCAGAAACAAAGTTAGTATTAACCATGTTGAATTAACCTGAGACTGGGGTAGAGAAGAAACATCAAAACGTAGAAGAGACAGAAAATAAACAGGACAATGTCTCAATTTTTTTATTTGAGACGTCGTCCTGTCTATTTTCTGTCTCTTCTACGTCTTGATGTTTCTTCTCTACCCCAGTCTCAGGTTAATTCAACATGGTTAATATTCACCAGCTCGCCTGCACCCTTACGATTTTTTCAAAGTTAGTATGTTTTCACAATCCCCCCTAAAGTTGTTGACCTAAATATTAATATTTACCTCCACACATTACATTGTGTCATCTGCCATTGTACTCGAATCGTTTTCCCAGACACAGTGAAGTATCTAGGTATTTTCCATTCTGATCTTTCCTGCAATTCCCACCTTACATTTCTTCCATATAATCTCCGAAAGCTCATAGTTTACTCATTATTTATTGGTACTCTCCGATACAATATAACAGTTTTTTTGAAAATGCTCTGAATTATGGAGGTTAAAAGTAAATAATGTCTTAAAGGAACGCTGAAGCTAGGAAAAAGAAAGAGGACATTCATACCTCACAATAAATGTTTGTCGAAAAAAAAAAAATTGTTCTGCCCAATATTTATGTTAACTTTTTAATTTTTCGATTTGCGGGCGAAACCAATGATAGTAGCGTTTGCACACAACTAGTGTGCACTCTGAGTGCCCAGCAAACTCAGTGTGCCTATTTCCTACCTAGTTTTCTAACCAGGTAAAAACAAAGACTTTTTTTCCTAGGTTTATTGCTTTTTAAAAGGAATGCTGCACAATGTCTATTAGAAACCTCCTACATCCTATCTGGATGTTTTGCATATTATCTATGCCAAACTTCTAATTCCAATCTCTTTGTTGAAACGGTAGTGCTTGGTCAATAGTAGAAGACACTTTGTCTGAACATGCGACAACTATGAACGGTTTCACGATTCTCTGTCCCCATATGCTACACCTGTCATGGCAACACCAGCAGTTATTCTACGTTCCTCAAATTTTTAATTCCTTACCTTGTAATTTCCCTGTTTTTACTTCCAGAAAAAAGCTTAGGAAAGTGCTTCGCCAATTCCCATCCACCGACGTATCCCTCTAATTGTTTACAACTTGGCCTTGCATGTGTTTTTTTTTAATTGTTAATATCTACTCCCAAGCACTTCATTTGTTTTCTTGCTATTGTGTTTGAGTGTGTTCAATAAAGTTGACACAACAGGTGTGTTTGCAATATAATCCAAAGGTGATAAGTGTCAAATGCTGTTGTGTATATTTCTTTTGAGAGTGACTTTGTGCTCTTTTTTTCTTACACATTTGGTACCTCAGATTGCATTTGGAAATACCCTACAATGTGTAACTTTTTGAGAAACAATTAGAGTGTTAAGTGACATGACCAAACTTTTTTATATATATTTAATTTTGTGCCACTTTTTTTCTGTAATGGAAGCTTGAGGCTTGAATTGGTGTAAAGACTGTTCAAGTGCACACATTTTTTTTTATTATAAGACTGCCTTCTATTTTGGACACTTATAACTTTATGACTGCAACTTTGGTTTAGTCACACAAGCCTTTAAAGGACACATGCAAAGAAAAAACACTTTTTTTTAAACAGCTTAGATGGAAAAATGATGTCATAAAACAATTTTACAACGAAAAAAAAAATTTTAGAACCCGCGGGCGCTGGGGAAAAGTGGCCCTTATTTATCAGGTGACTGGCCCTTATTTATCACGTGGTGCTTTGCGCTCTTTTGGAAGCTTCCTTTGGCGTCTAAAAGTAACTTATTCGTCTTTGTTTGAAGTATAACAAAAAACTGAAATTAATAAGTAACTTTTTGGAGCCCAAAGGAAACTCCTGAAAAAGCACAAGCAGATGTGGTAGACCTGTGCGCCGGTCCGATGACGGCGGCGGCGCCCCGAAGCAGATGAACTTGAGCGGCGGCGGCGACGGCGGCGTGGAGGAACGCGTTGAGGCGGCGTCGCACAACGCTCAGCGTGCGGCGACGGCGTGACTTTGCGGCAGCGGCGACGCAGCGCGGCAGCGCGCGGGCCTACAGGAACTCTACTACCACGTGACCAACAGCGGCACCCGCGGGCGCCAACTACAAATTCGTTTTACGCCGTAAATATAGCTCTAATTTTTTTTCTTCGTTGTAAATTCGTTTTATAATATTCTTTGTTCATCTAGCCTGTTAAAAAAAAAGTTTTTTTTCCTTTGCATGTGTTCTTTAAAGCAGGCTGCCTATCCACTATACTTCAATCAGAGCCAATCACAGCTCGGCGTTCTGGTGTCACCACTGGAGTCACTAAATAAAGCTAAGCTCTCAAAGTACCGAAACTCCAAAACTATGCGTCTGAAGCGCGTCAGGCGCCGCCATCTTGGGTCCACGCACAGATGGAGGGATGATTCTAGCCGAGCCAAGCCGAGCTGCAGCCGTTGGCTGTAGCTCGGCTTTTTTATTTTATTATTATTATTTACTATTGTTGTTGTTACTGTTGTTGACACAATCAGTGGCTGCATTCTAGCATGTTTTATAAAAACTGAAAATGCAAGGTCATGGCTATATACAATAAAAGTCTGAAGGGGTGCCCTCTCCCGAGAGATCGCCCATCCCGTTTTTCTGGCTAAATATCTACAAATTGAGAATTCCGAAACATCGCCCACCTACGATTCCAGTCGGACGTCACGCGGTGACCGACGGGAATCGCATCAACCGCGCGATCTGTCGTACCGGCGAGTTTCTAGTGGATTCCCGCGTTTTCGTCGCGATCTGCGCGCGCGCTGTCGATTCCCGTAACACGCGAGTTGTTCCCGCGTGTATATTGCATCGTGAAAGACGATTCTGATGCGTGCGCGATCTACGGTATTTGTTCCCGTGACAAGCGCGTTCGTAGAGGGTTCCCACGTTTTTCTTCGCGATCTGCGCGCGCGATATCGGTTCCCGTGACAGGCAAGTCTGAAGCGGGTTCCCGCGTGTTTATTGCACCATACGACTTGAATCTGCCGCGTCCGCAATTTGCAGTGTTCGTTCCCGTGAGATGCGAGTTCTCGGCGGGTTTCCGCGGGTCCTTCGCACCGTGAAACGCGAATCCGCTGCGTCTGCAACCTGCTATGTCCTTTCCCGTGACGCAGGAGTTCGTGGCGAATTCACGCGTGTTTATCGCATCGTGAAACGCGACTTCGCCGTGTCCGCGATCTGCAGTATCAGTTCCCGCGTCACGTGGTTTGTAGCCGATGTCCAGGTGGGGAATCGGCTACACCTGGGGGTATCGGCATTAATTTTCGACAAAGCTTTGCTCTGGCATCCCCAAAGATAGCCCACCCCATATTTTTCATAATTTGTTTCTTCATTTTGGATAGGCGTTCTTGGGGAATTTGAAGGTAGTATAAATAAATAAATAGCAGCGACAAAAAAAGTATTGGTAAATTAAATTTGGGACCGATTAGCACAAGGAAGTAATTTCCAACTGGTTAGAAAAAAATGTTATAAAAAAGTGTTCCTTACCTGATGTTACCAAACAGCCTGACTTTTTTTTTTTTTTTTTTTCAAGGTTTTAAGCAGTAGTTTCTACATCATCTTTGGTTCTGAAATACAGAAAGAATAGAAAAATGTCATTACATCAACATACAATATTTCAATTACTGTTTTCTCTGCTGTCCTATCGAAACTCGTTTCATTACATTTGTTATGATCTCAATTGTTGAGAGCAAGCACTGCACCTTAAAATTATATTCAAAGCTTTTCAAGAGGAACATATCTTTAAAACGTGCATACAGGTAATAGAATCAAATTCCAGAGTAACCTGTTTTTCCAAGAAGCAGATGCCCTCAATGACTGCGATTTTACATATCAGAAACCAGCATTAAAAAAATTGAGTGCAGTTGTGCCTGATGTTTGATTACCATCCTAAATACGATAAAAACCTAACTGCAGTACGAAAAAAAATATTATTACTTTACAACCACACTTATCACAATTATATTCACAATTATCTACTGAGCAATGCATCCACTACCCACACAAACTGATAAGGAAGACTTGTTACTCAAATGCGTAGCCTTACAAATACAACCGACAGCACGCATAGCACTATCAGCAACAATATACATAATCAGACAGCTTAATTCTGTCTCGAGCAAACAGCAAAAATCAATGAAGCCAATTAATTCTGCAAATACATCAATAATGGCGCACCACCTGCATTTGATAATACTCATCTGCAAACAATAAAGCTGTTCCGACTCCTCGAAGCGGCTAAAACAATATACTGTACTTCAACCAATGCAGAACCTCAGTGCCGCTGCACTGCGCAGCAACATACTTTCCGGCTAACGCACATCCACAAGCAACAGCTGGCCTCCAGACATGTGCGGCTACACATGCACTAACGCAGATTCGGAGAAAGACGCACACGGATAGCGGGCTTCGCTCAAGCATGAATCCGGAACCGAGCCGGCTTGATGAGATGCAATATGTAATTCACGCATCGCGGCCCACGGGCTTGGAATTAAACGCCCGACACAGGAGCTCCTGTCATTTGGATCTATCGGTGAAGAAGACGACGGAGAGAAAATGAGGTCACTTAAAACGTCAACTTCCAAGAGCTTTCGTCTGCCTTGGCAGGCTACCAAAGTGGCTCTCGTAAATCTGAACGGCGAGAGCAACGTGCACTGGATCCAGTTATCACCAAGCAGAACTGCATCGCGCCCGAGCTCTGCGCGATACAAAAACAATCCCGCCGACGATGCTCTTATCACCACGCCATTTTGGTGCGAGCGGCGACTTGCGAAAGAGTTGACGTCATAAGCGTCTGGAGTCCGTGTCATATTCCATTTCGTGTGGTCGTGGCTTCGTTGATGTACACAGTGGCGGAAAGAGAGGGGGGGAGGGGGATCTGGATGTCTTAACCCCCTCCCCTCCCCCCCTCCCCCCTTCTTGAATTCTGCACGTGTAAAAATTTAGGGCATGGAAACGGGGGGGGGGGGGGGGGGGGGGTCTTAAACATAAGATATGCTGACCAACACCTGACCTTCCCGATGTACAGCGTAGGGTGCCAAAGGTGCGAAATTTGCCACAAAAGTTCTTGCTAGGTAATGCGATTGTTTTACAAAGATCTTCAGAGAAGATGTCTTTGTTAAACCAAAAGCAGTTGTTTGTCAAACCAAATGCAGTTTATTTGCAGTTGATTGGAGTTTCTCTGTTGTCATTTTCAAAAAACAGAAACTCACCCTCTAGTCACAACTTCATACAGATTATTGCTTTACCTTAGAAGGCGAACTTGAATAATTTATCTCAAGATGGTCAATTGGATCTTAGTGTATGTACATGCCTCAATACAGTTTAAACTCGATCATAGCTTTAAAAACTACAAAGACCATGTCTAATATCAGCCCTTGGTAGGGGAAAAGTAATACATGAAATTCGAAAACCGCTTTGTCGACGGCCAGATAACACTAACGATTCATGTGTGTGTATGTATGTGTGTGCAATGAAGATCAAACATAAATAGTCTACATCTGTGTCTCATACTGGCTACTGTTCCCGTAACTCTGTCCCCAGACAAGCAGCTGTCATAAACTTAATCCAGATGGCTTTGCCCGGAACGCGTCTCCGACTGGTGTGTTTGCCGCGTCCAAAAAAGTAGTCCCTCCATTTCCGCCTGATGACGTCATAAAAGTTACCATGCTGTCGTCAGTCGCGATCCTGGCGGCGTCCCAACAGCTGTTGTGTATGTGGCAGACGCCTGTTCTGCCTCAGGTCGCTCTCCAGTGTGGCAGACCACGGAAGCTTCGACGGCCAGGAGTTGGAACGCCGTGACGACAGCGACACTCGCGTTCGATTGTGCTACTCGCAACCTTCTCGTTAGCATATCTGCGATCAACCGCCAGGACCGCGACATGAAACAGCATGACACTCCGACTTCTGTGACGTCATTTGTTGCCCCTTGATGTATGGGCAGCATGGGACGCTAAACGCACCAGACGAGGACACGCTCCAGGCACCATAATACAGTCTTCTATACCCGTTTTCACCTCAAGAAAAAAGGACGTTTTGCGCATTGTTCATACGCGACGCGAAGTAGTTCTTACGAGATTTGGTGTCAGGGGAAAAAGCGATGCTTTTAGCATTCGAAACGCTTGCGTCTTGGTTAGATAGCAGATATGTAATCTAAAATTCACCTGCGTATATTTTAATTATCAATATAAAGAGGGAATTTAGTAATGCTCCGCGTGGAGCCGGACTTTTTTTACTACGGTTCTTGAGGTGAAAACAGGTATAGAAGGGATGTAGTGGCAAACGCGGGATGCAGTGGCATACGCTCCGTTATGAATTCGGATCCCGGCGGCTAGCTTTACATTCCGACCTAGATTGAGGGTTCGGTGATGGGTAGTTCATTATTGCGGCGACAAAAAGCACTGTTGGTATTTCCTTTCGGTTTACTTCTGCCCGATATATGAAAACTACTGACCCAGCAAAATTAATTTAGTGGCATGTTCTTTACTCGCGGACTGGCTTGCAAGTTGGGGACAGAAATTTAAACTATGCCCGGTTTCTTTAGCTGCTCACAGTTCATATATGCAGAAGTTGCCCAACGTTTGTGTTCCTAAATTTATTCATTTGATCTGCAACTGTAACTCCGAATAAAAACACTACCTTCCTTGTTTTGCCATAGCAAGAAAACAACAACGAATTTTATCACATGCTTTGATAAAATTTTACCACAACAGGGTGGATAATAAATATCAAAATGATTTAAAGCTTGATTTAAATAATTATTTAAATCACAGCAATTTGGTTATAAAAATTTTAAGTCGCACCACTTTGCCTATAATGAAAATACATAAACACTTTTCCCCCAAACAATACTCAAAAACATTTCTCTTTAATTTACTGTTTGCCTATCAGCGCTCTTCCCATGGGTATTTATTTTGTATTTGGAGTAAACAATGATCAAGCAGAACATATTTATATCGGGCAGAAATTAGAGAAAACACATCTAGTGATAAAAACGTCACCAATTTCTAGATGAAGAGATTTAATTCACGTCAGTTTGATTCAAATAAAAATCTGATTTATTCGATTAAAAAATATCCTAATTTTTTTTTCACACTGACCACACACAAAGAAAAACACATTCATCAACTTAGCAATGAATGCTGCTAAGAACACGACCAAATAAATAAAAGGGGAAAGTTCCAAAAATTTCACTTTCCGACGGCTAAAAAAAAAAATTGCTCAGTTCATGATCTTGAGCCAAAACACTTTGCCTCGCATGCACCACAAAATAATAATAATAATATTAATAAACTAGCTTGAAAATACGTACGCACAGAGCTGAATCCAACTTTATGCATCCTATAAAACGTTACGAAGTGAGAAAAAAACGTTACGACAGGCGAACACCCAACAATACACACAGACAAACAACAACAAAAAAACGCAATAAGGATGTTCGCATGAAGGCATTTAGGGAAATAATACAATCGGTTGCACACCACAGAAGTGCATGGCACAATTACAAAAGTAGAATTTGCTAAAGGCACTGAAAGTAAAAGACACTTCTGATGACAAATCCGGGCGAAAACTATGCGAACCGACTTTTTGCCACTACATGCTTCTGTACTCTGGCACGATTAAAAGAAATGCAGCCTGGCGGCAACATAAAATGCACATCCAATCTAATGGACAAGCGGCGTCTGCCAAGAGCACCCGATGGCTGCTAACGCGAGAGGAAGCAACCGATGCACAGCAACGACGAAAATAGTCTCTGGAGAAGGGGAACAAGAAGGACAAAGGACAAACACAAATCTCCAAACACAGCTATGTGACTGGTGAGCGACCGAAAAAATCCGCCAGGTCCGGTTATCGAACACGGGAGCTCTCCATTACAGGTGGAGCGCTCTACCAACTGAGCTAACCAGGGGTTAGACGTCAGTAGAGCATACGGGTTTTATCAGTCTAACACCACCAGTCTAACACCAACAAGGGTGAAGCTTGCAATTTAAGGTTATGATTATAATGTAATTTTAAATGCAAGGGTGCAAGCGAGCTGGACAAGAACGACGAAAATAATCCCTGGAGAAGGGGAACAAGAAGGACAAAGGACAAACACAAATCTCCAAACAAAGCTATGTGACTGGTGAGCGACCGAAAAAATCCGCCTGGTTCGGTTATCGAACACGGGAGCTCTCCATTACAGGTGGAGCGCTCTACCAACTGAGCTAACCAGGGGTTAGACGTCAGTAGAGCATACGGGTTTTATCAGTCTAACACCACCAGTCTAACACCAACAAGGGTGAAGCTTGCAATTTAAGGTTATGATTATAATGTAATTTTAAATGCAAGGGTGCAAGCGAGCTGGACAAGAACGACGAAAATAATCCCTGGAGAAGGGGAACAAGAAGGACAAAGGACAAACACAAATCTCCAAACAAAGCTATGTGACTGGTGAGCGACCGAAAAAATCCGCCAGGTCCGGTTATCGAACACGGGAGCTCTCCATTACAGGTGGAGCGCTCTACCAACTGAGCTAACCAGGGGTTAGACGTCAGTAGAGCATACGGGTTTTATCAGTCTAACACCA